TTGAATGAATTAATATTTATTTTCCTTCTCTGCTATTTAGGTTTGTTTTTCCAGAGAAGTACTCTAAGATTGAATTTGTGGATTTGAGAGTATAGGGGATAGAGAGGGAGCTCATGTGGTTAGCACATGCCAGGAAGCATGAGGACCAGAGGTTGACTTCCAGAACCCACATAAAAGATGGTGATGAGAATCTGTAATCCTAGTGTTGAGAGGCAGAGATGAGCTTGCTGGCAGCTGGTCTAGCCAATAAGTGAACCTAAGTTTTAAAGAGAGAGTCAAAGAATGACATTGGAAAGCAAAAAAAGACATACAGCTTCAAATTCTACTCTCACATGTACACTCAACATGTACATGAGCATCTTTACACATACACACACACACAGACAGATACACATGATACATCTCAGAAACATGCACACATACAAAGAATACATAATTTTACTAAAAGTTGCTTACATTGGCCAAAATTATTATTTTTGAGATTTACTTAGGCAAGACTGTGAATGCCAGATACTCCATCACTCAGGATGCCAAGAGGACCATGATATAAACACCAACATAAACAACTTAGTGAAAGCCTATCTCAAAATATTAGCATATCTAGGAGTATAGCTGAAGGGTAGAAATACTTCTGGAAAAGCTTTTATCAAGACAAACAAGGTAAAAATCTCTTTAAACATTAAATACCTTAAAATTAGTGACCACATTCTTCCTAGTCCACTTATAACGTGTTTTTCAGCCGTTTGTGCCTAAAATGAAAGGGGAAATGAAAATATTTTCCTTTAATTTGGTCAATGTGCTTTTGGAACAGACAGATCATCGGTTTATTTTTTTTTTTTTTTGCCATTTATAAGTCTAGAGATTTAATTTAAAGTTCAATAATTGAATAAAATAAAACAATGACCTTTCACATATATTCATCATTTCTTATCTTACCCAAATAACAAAATGTCCTATGTGCCATAGTCAACACTGTTTACTTCTCTATAAGGTCTTTGCTGTAATGTCTGTAACTTACCCTGTATTATGTATCTGCTGCCACAATAATAGTGCAGTTTTGTTAACAAGAGCTCAGAGCTATTGTGGTGATTATGTGGAAACTAATATCTCTCTGTTAAATTAAAAAAAACTGAAGTACTGTAAGATACCTTTTCATGGGGCTTAAGCATATCACTCTCATATGCTTCCTGCTTAAAACAACAACAACTTGGGAACTTCAGATTTGAGTTTCACAATTCATTTATATCAAATGTTTTCTCTTTCTCTTTTACTTTCCACTTCTTTCTTTTGCTTAGTTTGTGCTTTTTAGAGGAATAGAGAAGGAGAATGCACTACCTATCTTGACTTTCAAGAACTATATATTGCGAGAAGCTGGAAGAACATTTAGAGATGTAGCTCAGAAGCAGAGCTCTTGCTTCTCTTATATGCACGGCCTCAAGTTCAATCCCCATTACTTAGTTGAAGGCAGCTAGGATGAGTAAGTCAATGATATATGCTTGATCAGATATATGTACTTAGATGGACTGAAGTTGATGTAGTGTGTTGTAAAGAGAACTTTTCATTTGGCATCCCTTTAACACCTTCAGTGTTCATCTTTTTCTGTGTGTTACAGTTAAGAATCAAACTAAGAAAAAATATAGGAGCATTTATGTTTATCCTATCAATCTAGATTGTATGAGACAGATTCCATTTGAAATGATGCATCTGCCTAAATTTCACTGCTAACCAACTTTATTTGTAAAGGACTTATACACTGTAGTGGACTGAATGTATCACCAAGGCAACTGTATGACCAGACAGCTGACCAGACACTGCATCCAACAAGGGCTTCAGGTTGGGCAATGCCATGGGTCCAAGAGATCCAGCTATTACATCATACTGGTCAGAATGACGTCAATGCTCTTTCATAGCTCTGTTGCATGTCTGGAGACCTGTCTTGTCAGCATCTCATGGGAGGTACTCACTGGAGCCCCTCTCACAACTTAGCTTTTCCCCAGACCTTCCATCTCCACCTGCTTGTTTCTTGGCACTGTGTTGTTAGAATGTCCTTTTCTAAGGAGATTATTGACCTGGTTAGGGTCTTGTCTAATATAGAAATCTTCTAGTAAGCAAGATTTGAGGGGCAGTTATCTCATAGCCCACCAGTCTACTTTTTTATTCATCCATAGAAGTGTTCCCCTTTTTGAAGTGAGACTGTTCTTTCATGTGTAAATCTATCCCACACATTGCCATATATACACAGCCTTACTCCTAGCACTAGTTATTAGTGTACATGCCACTTTTAACATAACATGGCAACCATATTTTCATAGCTCTCATTGGGTACATAGCTCTCATTGGGTGAGGCTTTAAACATCTCCAGGGTTCTCCTCTCTTAAAGCAGGAAAAGAATTGAGTTTTTGGCATCATAATTGTCATTGGAATTTGTCTTTAAAGTACAAAAGTACTCATTAGAAAATGCTGGGTGCAAATAACTTGAGAAATCTCTGTTTTCCCTAGTAGAAAACTACCTGGAGAAAGGAAAATAAACCACATCCATTATGATCTGTGATTTAGTGTTAAAGACTGGATTTTAGCAGTTTCGATGCTTGTTCTTGATCTTTAATTTATCTTAAGGTGTTCACTGAATCAATTGGAACGTTTTACCTGTCTTTAACAGTAGCCACAAACATGTACAATTTGAAAAGAAAAATCCTAAAAATCAAGATATATGCAAGTCATTAAAAAACAAAACCTTGGATTTATAGTCTTAATTTCATGTAAGCAATATCTTGAATGACTACTTCTTTGTGATGAATACTACACAAGTTGCACAAAGTCCACTTGAAGATCACACAAGATCCTTAAGTTTTATTTAAAATTAATAAAAATATGTTGCAAAATATCTTGAGCATCTAGATTTAGATCTATGAAAGAGCTCTCATCATCTTAAATGATGAGTAGCCAAGGGTAGTATGCCATCTTATGATCTCCTTCCAGGCAAGATTCAAAGCATCTCTTCTTTGAATCATGCAGGGCTTACACTGCCTATCTAGAGGCATTTGAAAATAGGACATGTGAAGTCAGTTCTATTAGAACTTAGTATTTGAGGACCAGTGACTTTAAATTAAATTTTATACAGTAAGAATAGTTATATAAAGCAGAACCATCTTGTATAAATACCAATAGTCAGGATTGGGAAATACTGTCACTCATGTAACAACATAAACTCCAAGTCCATTCTCTGGAACAAAGGGAAAGTTAGTCACATGTTTCTTCTTGAAGTCAACATCAGTCAAGAGCACATGAAGACAGAGATGCTTTTCACTATTTTTTAGGTTTATGTACACTTCTTGGTTAGCTACTTGATACCTGGCAAATAAGCCTAAAGAACAACCATACACTACATTGTCTGAAAGTATGTTCATGCATCTCCTATATCTCCTTCTATACTCACCTGCTGGGCAATTACATGAAATAGTCTTCCAAACAATCCTCAGGTTAAAGACTCCCTTAGCCAGCCTGCCTCTCTCCATATCGAGCTGCTACATGCTCCTGGAATATCATTTATTCAAAGCAAGTTCTTTATCCTCAAATCTTTAAGCTTTAATTTATTATCACCCACTCTTTTTTCTCCATACAAGGATGCTTCATGGTATGGCAGATACCACCTTCATTTTTGTATTTCCCATGTTATATAACATAGCATCTGACAATGCTAAATATGCCTTGAAATGTTGGTTCCTAACTCTCAAGAATTGTGTTCAAATGCTCCTTAATGATGTTATTGCATTCCAAGCCTATAGTTTCATCCTTTTTGTAGTCCTAACAAATTATTAGTCAAAGGAATAGAACACTTCATTTCATATTTCTCATGATTTGCTAATACTGCAAACTTTCTTGGCTTGTTTGTTATATCATAGTGTATGCTACTAAGAGATTCTTGTATAGTTAATGGAAGTCTTTTAGAATAGACCACAACATATGGAAAAGAAAAATAAACAGGTGTAAATAGATGGTGCTGTCAGTTGCGTTAACTTAGATGTAATTCAATCTGAACCAGCCTTTGCATCCAGATTATACCTTATCCATTATTATCCATTATTCCTTTCCAATTTATATGAAAAGTACTCAATAAACAACTGCTTTTTAAAAAACAAACAAGAAAAATTAAACAGTCTAAACCTAATTTATTAACATTTACAGTCAGGAGTCTGATATACAAATACTCTTGAATTATAGAGTCTTAAGCAGCAAGCTTTATTTATTCTTTCATTTCATATCCATAGTACTTTAGCCTGAAGTCTCCACATTCTTCAGAAACAGTATCAATCCCAAAAGCAATCACAGCTTTGAAAATGTTTCTGTACATTCTTTTTTATTTCCTCTTATCATTTTAAATAAAGAAGAAAAGTGTTTATTATTTCTGTTTAGACACATAGAATTGGAACACTGCTATGTAACAGAAATCATCATGCTAACATGTTACATGTAATCATGTAACAGAAATCATCACACAGGAATAGAAGGACAAGTCACTTGGATATAGGCTACATACTATAAAGTCTTGACCTTGTAAACATTTCTACAGGAGGTAGAACTTAGACATTTGACTTTGGTCAAATAGGTGATAGTAAACAATGATTATAAATTAAAGATATTGTGAAGGTATTGAATATACTTTTCTTCTTTCAGAAACCAAAGATGAGGGAAAATAGAGATTTTTCAATAAGTTAGAAAATGTAATATTACATCTTTGTAGTGTCTGCATATTTAAATTTCCATTGGCTTCATTTGATAGTATTTTAAATTATGATCAATAATGACTGTACATTTTAGCCTATTTGTGTGCAATATAAGTATCTCCATTTACTAATGGAGTTGTCCAGCATAGCAGTGACCTGAAAATAACATTCAGCCACTGCACCTTCAACCTTTTCTTCTCTCGTGGCAGCTGGGGGTGGATTATGACATCAATGCAGCAGAGTGTTTGAGTTTCACCTGCATTCTACATTGTTCATTTAAGTGCCTCCAGCTGCTGTCCCCATAAACACAGTGTTGATGGGTGGTAAAGATGACACCATTTCTCTGTTGCTTGCTCCATTGGTATCCAGATTATCTTGTACTGGATACTGATTGGAGATTCCATACATACACTGGGATGAAGATGAGGGAATCTGGGCTTGCAAGTTGGAAGCTACAAGGGAAAACACAAACAATTAAAGCAAATAAAAACAAATTGATGTATTCTGAATTCCACAAATGCCACTCACTTTGAACCTTTTATTTTTTTTGCATCTAGCATATATAAGCTGTTTTAAATGCAAGTGTACATGATTCACCAGAACAAAAATATTTTCTTTGATTTTCCCACTTGTTGTTATCCTGTGTATTATTTCTACTTATTTTCACAGAGAAAACACTTACTATTGTATTACATTCTGTCACTAAAATATGTCTTCACTACCTCTATCTCCTGTCTGCACCTCCAATCACCATCCCTCCCTAGACCCATATAGCAGCCTCAGTCTCTCACCCTTTGGAGAAGAGCTAGAAAGAGCATGCTGATATATAAAGCACTTTCTACTCTTCTATCACATGACCATGACTTAGACTCTAGGAATAAAATCTAGTCTTCTTGCTGTGATTCACAAAATTCTACACAAACCACAAACTGACTTGAAATTTATTCTGCTCTACTCTCTCATATGTTTAGCTTCTCAAGACTCATTGATTTTTCTTTCTGCTCACTGAAATTTGCCATTTCCTCCCTGAATTCAGAGGCTCTGTAATGACTGTTTCTTCTGTCTAGATTTTCTTCATCTGATTTTCAATGTTTCTCGATTTCCCAGCTCTCAATTCAAATGTCTCTGCCTCAGGATTCCATACCTGGTATCTGCCTGCTCCCACTTTGCCAGTCACCACTTTACATACTTCAAAAAACTTTAAATTATCTTTTAATAAACTGTTTTAGGTGAGTGTTTCAAGTAATGGGCTTTATCATAGCATATACATATATGCTATACTCACTACATATAGTCTTTATACTTGTTGTGATTTGTTCCCATCCCCCACTGACCTTCCCATTACTCTGATCTCTCTCCAACTGGTTCCTCCTTCCCCAATTAATTCCATCACATGCAATCCATTACTATGTATTTTCCATGTCTAGATCCCCTTCAAATACTGGAGGTCAGGCCTCTATCCCCGCCTTCCCAAGTTTAGAATTGCCACAGCCCTTCTATACTTAGAGAAGGGAGGAGATGTCAGGGGCAGCCCTGCTTACCCACTGAAGGCCTAAAATCAGCCATAGGCCTAAAATCAGCAATAGGCCTGTCATATATGTATACTAACCCCAAGTCTTGGGTCTCAGTGGAAAAACATTGAAACAGATGGCTATAAGCTAATGTAAACAGGCAGCTTTTGTGGAAATTTACCAGCCTGAGTAATCATAGACCTTGTAAATAGGTAGCCTTGGCAGATAATACCAACTTAGATAAGGACAAGCGAGTCATAGGCAGAGTCATAGTCCTTCACCCAGCCGATACCTGGATCTGATGATATTTGTATTCCCCCTGATCACCCACACTCCAGTGTCATTCCCTTCCCCACATCCTGCCTTTCTGTGTTTATAACCCCTGTGTGAATGAATTACGATTTGAGAAAAAATAAGTTATTAAAAAAAAAAGCTCTTCCTCCTTTCTCATGATCCTTCATGACCTACATGCATACACACATATAAATGCATCTCTCTCGCCCCCCCCACTCACACACACACACACACATACATACATGTATATATGCAAGTTTCACATATGAGAGAAAGCATGTAGTCGTTATCTTTCTTATGAAATTATCTTTGTAATGTATTCATTTGTATATTCATTGCCTTGCTCTCCCCCTTCTAAAACATAAATTTTCTCCAAGAAGAAACTGTGTCCTGATTACCTCAGTATCCTCATACCCAGGATCTGACATATAGTTGCTCTAAAAACCTTCCTTAAAATGTCCAAGAAGTCTACTTCTTGAATGGTTGATCCATTCTCTTGTCATGGCAATGTGCTCTCTGTCTCTAAGGATCAGGCTTGCTACTAATGAGGACAGAATGCCCAGTTTGCAATCTGCTCATTAGCCATCTCTGACAGCTAAAGCTTAGAATCCACCATACTTCCAAGCCATGTTCCATCAAAGCTTCCATTATCTCTACAAGTAAACAGAACTAATAGTAACAATAGCAACACGCTACATTTTAGTCTGATGGTGAGGACACTTCCTGAAGTGGAATTTTCTGCTTCATTAGAGTAACCTAGAAGCAATGACTATTAGCAGATAGCAGGAGATGAGCTACTAGACTGCTCAGGATGCACTTGTGATGGCCACAGGAAGGGAAGAAGTACTTCCTATTGAATTATTGGAAAAGTACACTGAGTGATGAGAGATGGAATTTATTTCATCTTCTCAGTGCTTCTATTGCATGTCATGCGCCCTTCACTTACACTAATGCAAAAATGAATTCCATTGAAGATTTCAGGTGTCTCATATAAACATCCACACTTTTTTTTGATACGTTATAGATGCATACTTTCTCAGTGATACTTCATTATTAGTTTTCCAAACTAAATGTATACATTGCTTTGGGTTCAATACGTATGAGAAATAACTTATTAATTAAAGTAGACTAAATGTATGTATATATTTAAGGTTGTTATCTTGGTGCTAGATCTCAAACCTTGGGTTTTATACATGACAGGAAAGTAAGTGTTCTGCTGCTGGAGCCATACCTGAAGCCCCTAAATTTATTTGGACTAGTCCATCAATCATTGACTTGTTAAGTTTCTTCTGTGCACCCAACTCGGTGGTGCATTTAGGGTCTTTATAGATGAGGCTAAAATTGGAAGGAACAGCTAGAAGACTTCCTGGCAGGCAACTGACTTGCTCATGTTGACTTGAATTATATGTTATATATAACAATAAAGGATAGCAACAGTTTCTACAAGGATATTCAATCTCAGTTTACAAAAGATTGAGAAAATACTAGCTGCCACCAGGATTTTTGTTCATTATTGTAAACACCCAGAGTGATATGGGGTGCTAATGGTGATTATGGGGTCCAAAGATCATTCTTGCCACTTCCTAATGAGTCTAATGATGATCATAAGAAAGTGAGGAAAATGTATTATTTTTCTTTTCAGAAAGTTCACTATCATTTCAAGTGCCTTTGACAAGCTGTGCTACAATTTTTATACATACTAAATATGTTATTATTTCTGGAAGAAATAACAGATCGTAAAGTAGGTGTGTACTAATCATTTCAAAGAATGAGAAATGGAAATTTATTCTTTACTCAAACACAAAAACATAACATAACATAACATAACATAACATAAAATAATGATAAAATTACCTTAGGACCATGCATGCCAAGTTCACTGAACATCCACCCTCCGTGATCCTGGCCAGGTTGTTTTGCATAGCTAAAGTTCATCACTTCTTAAAACACTTTCAATGAGTATGAAAACAATTTACCTACTACAGGAGTCCGACATGCAACAGGAGAGGATGTGTCTGCATAAAATGAGTTACTCTGCTTCCGGCTGCTATCATCTAAAATGTTAAGTGGATCATGGATATCACTGTAGGGAGGCAGGGAGCGAACACTGCTGATGACTGAAACATGTTGGTTCACCATCGATCCGAGTCTATGTGCCTCTGAGTAGTTTACATTGTTTCCATAGTATCCTAGAATGGAACAGGTTGTGAATATTCTATTTGCTTGCTACTGAATCACTCCAGGAAACTCAAAAGAAACAACATAGCTGGGTGTAGTCCTAAACATATCTAATAGTAAGATTTTTATTAGCTTGAGACTTGAACTTATGCTTTAGTATGTAATACATAGTATGGTTTACTATGATAGTTTTTAGTTAAAAGGTAATTAGCATATTATTCATTTTGAAACTGACTATATGTCTTTCATAATCCATATCTAAATTTATAAAGCATACCTATGAAGAAAGATACAAGCACTGCTGGTCCTGTAAATCATAATATTTCTCAAACAAAATTTCTACCTACAGAATCATGTTCCTGAAGATATGCAGGACTACACTTAGGAGAAAGTCTTTTAATAAATCAAACAGTCTTTCAATCTCCTTAACTTCAGGTCTTTTGTTTTCTTATTTTTAAATAAATAGATAATATTGATTTTAGATCCAATCTTTAAAATATACTGTTAATTCTCTGGAATACATAATCTTCATTGAAAATATTTTCAAAGGACAGAATAGTCTTTTTTGACTGTATCTAGCATAAGCTTTGGGTTTTTTTTTTTCTGGTTTTTCGAGACAGGGTTTCTCTGTATAGCCCTGGTTGTCCTGGAACTCACTCTGTAGACCAGGCTGGCCTCGAACTCAGAAATCCACTTGCCTCTGCCTCCCAAGTGCTGGGACTAAAGGCATGCACCACCACTGCCCGGCTAAGGTTTGACTTTTTAAAAATCATGTATAAAAAACTTTAATAAAGCCCCAAGAATTAAGAAGTATGTTTGAGTGTGGCAGATACACTCTACAAGTAGCTAAGATTCTATGATTTTTATATTTTTTACTGAATTTATGATGCTCAGCAGAGGTGAAACTCAGTGTCAGATCTTGCTTTGCTCCCTCCTCAAAGGCCAAAAACATCTTTAAAAGTTACATACCATTAGGAGAATTAGAAGGCAGTGTTGATCCTTGGCAGCTGCCAGCTCCTGCATTACTAAGAAAACTGAAGCTTCCTGTGTTCAAAAACTGCATGCTGTGTGACTCTTGTGTGTGGGGAGATGATGTATAACTGGAAGGTGGCCTGGAATTATATGGAGACCCAGCACAACTGCCACCAAAGAAGTCTCTAGAAAGATGCTGTTCAGTCCAGGCCATGCACCTCCCATGCTCTGCACGGTGAGCATAGAGGCTTGATGCAGGGTGAGACTGTCCCCTAAACACAGTCTGATAGTTAGAGTTGGTCCCATAAAAGTCGTGGTTGGCTGGAGGGAGTGTAGGATAAATTGGTTCTGCATATGTTGAGCAGTGTGTTGAAGCTGAGAGGACTGTGCCCACACTCGGGGGTCTGCCTGCCATTGGCCCTTGGTTAATAACACTTCCTCTGCTTGCTATGGCTGGAGAAATAGGTGGTGTCATCAGATGGCCAGTACTTTGTGAAAGCTCTATTTGACCTGGAAAAAAGAGTGAGACCATTGTATTTGTGGCATAATAAGTAGACGGGATCATGTCTTTAAAAGTATTCAAATTATTTATTAACGTACCCTTTGTTCCAACTAAGTAGTGCTTCCCTCATGTAAATAACTGGAGAAGATGTATGCATGCGAATTCACAATCATAGAATAGGGGGTGGGGGATATTTGGGAGGATGGGGAGGAGCTGGGAGGAGCTGAGAGGAGTTAGGGGGTGTAAAGAAAGGAAAGAACATGATCAAGATATATTGTATGAAAATACTTCAATTAAAAAAGAACTCACAGGTAGGAAGTTCCCTTCCTACCTGTAGTGTGATACCCACACTGTACCATAATAAAACCCAAAATGAATGAATAATGATTTGACCTTCAGTAATAGAAAAATGCACTAACATCACAATGCCCACTGTTTCACAATCAGCTGAACACAGCACACTAATACCACTGGTGAGTGAGAATTCACTAACATCTTCTACTCCCTGAGTCTGTGGCTTTCAATTAATATAGTTAAGCCACAGCATCATAAGCCCCCTCTTGTTTTAACATTCTGTATGCTCAAAAAATTAAGCTATAAAATGGAACTTTTGTAACAGTCCATGAGCCGAAACTTTATTTAAAATAAACTCTGACATTTCATTCAAATCACTGAAAATTTATTTTGCTGAAAAGCACAAAATTTTTGCATCGTTATCCTAAAGTGGCTGGAAGAGAAATCTCACTAAAGCCTAAATCAAATAAGCAACCCTATTCTAAAATTTCTTTTTGTTGTTGTTATTTTTTTGTATGAGTGTTTTGTCTGCATGTACTACCACATGCATACTTGATGCTTGAGGAGGTGGTGAGCCTCCATGTAGGTGCTGAGAATCAAACCAGGGTCCTTTATAAGAACAATTGCTCTTAACCACTAAGCCAATTCTGCATCCAGTAATGCAGTTTTTAATGGCAGAGTTTTGCTATCCAACCCAGCCTGGATTAAACTCATGACCTTCTTACCTCAGTCTCCTGAGTGCTGGGCTTTCAGATGTGTGCCACCACTCCTGGAAAGCTGTTCACATTTTATCTTCAAAGTATCTTAGGGACTTTATGCATATCTAAGATATGTTCTTCTATTAAATGAAAAGGCCTAGTCATACTTGATATGAGTCACCATCTGTATGTGTAATAGCTACATTTGTAATGGTATAAGTATGAATGCTAATGGCAAAAATCATAAATATAGACCCTTAATTTTAAAATAGTTTTTAATCAGCTAATAGAGTTTTCTCCGTGGCATTCCTGGGAGTTGGCAGTGTTGAGAGAAATGAAGGGATGGGTCTTCGGCGATGTGCTGGAAAGGCTATTAAGGTGTTCTTTATTGCTGCCCCACATACCTTGGAGTGGCATGTTCTCACTGTTCTCAGCTGGGAATGGGTGCAGAGCAGAGTGTACAGCTCCAGGCTGGCTGGAAGGCAGAGGGACATAGGATGTTTCCACATGACTTTCGTTCTTCACAGTGTCACTAGAAAGTGAGCTGCCCTTATTTCGGTTGGCCAGAAAGCAGGAGCTTGGGGAAGCTGTGAAGGCAGCTTTACTCGCGTCTGGAAAGATTGTGACAGATGAGATTGTGTGATACTCCTTATTGACAAGCCCAAGCAAAAGACACTGAATGTGGCTCTTGTTTGAGTAATAAATCTGGAAACTCTTGTATAATATTTTCCATAGGAAACAGGCTGGAGGCTTTGGTGGTTAGTGGTGGTGCTGGGTTTATTAGTTGAGTATTTGTGGGTAGGTGCATTTTGAAGGGCACTGAACAAGCCACTCTGGGCTAAACAGTCTTCAGAATGCAGGCTTCTTAACAAAAATGGGCTAACCTCTTTTTCACTAAACTCTTGTGTTTCTACATGTGTTGCCTTAAATTACAATGATTTGTGGGCATTTTATGGCAGAATTTTCTTTAACTTTAATGAAAGTCTCAGAAATTAAGAACATAAGTTGTATAAATTGCCAGATTCCATTGAGGAACTTTCAGTGCTGTGTCTAAATGGAGGGGAAAGGGTGCTCCCCGTCAGTATTCAGAAATGATACTAGTGGTCCTGAGTATGGAGGAAAACTGAGACTTCTCTGAACCCACAGATTAAGAACCTGCAGATTCTTAAACTTAGACCTAAACAAAGAGCTATGAAAAGTATAATGGCTGTTTCGGTTACCCGAGTTCTTCATATACTTGTCCAATAAATTCTGTAGTTCCTGCTCTTTGTCATTATTAAATTGAGTCTCCATGGCCAAAAGAATGTACTCATCCAGAAGCATCCGAATCAAATGGAAAGAACCTAGTATACAGAAAAGGGGGCATGTACAGGAGAAAAGAGGGGAAGGGGAAAGAAAAGGAAAAGGGAGAAATGTTATCTTTGTGACCATCTCACTGCCCTTTACAAGGAACAACTGAAACAAACAAATACGTGTTGGACTTTCAATGACCTGCTAAGACCAACATGCTTAACTTGGGTCTCTAATCTTTCTGTGTACCTCCTGCCCAGCTCCCTGTGTGTACTGTCCTGCCAGCCCTTTGGCCACTAATTACATCAAAGGAAAATTCAGATGAAAGTGAGACAGGCTTTATGCTTTAAGAGGCCATACATACACCGGAGCATGATAAGCTTTAACTAAGAGAGAATGAGCTCTCTTCTGCTTGATTCCTGTTTACTTTGTACTAAATAATTAGACGATGGCCAACATTGTCTGAAAATTTTATCAAATAAGGTGTCTCTCCGGCCTGAACCATATTTGATTTAAAAATAAAAGCAAATGAGTCATTTTCATGCAAAAGGTGGACTGAAAAGTCTAACCTTTTTTGAACTGTTCAATGGATTTCCTAACAAAAATTTTTGTTCATGCTAAAGTTGGGCGTTGGTGCTCTGCATTTTAAGAAACTTGAAATATAAGAAAAGGTGCTCTAATTATTAAATCAAATTATAAAATTTTAAAACTAAATTTAATAATTTGCTTCTTGTTGACTTTTCAACCCATTATCCGACTTTAATTCCATCAAATCCTAAATGAAACCTTAGTTGACCCTAGCCTTTTTAGTATTATGAAACGTTCTTAAAATGCAATTCCATGTGTATAAGGTTAGTATTGTAATTTGGAATTAGCAAGTTCTGAAAGTTCAGGGAAAAGTAGATATGCAATTTTTGAAAAAGTGAAATTAGTCTAATTGTGGTCTAATTTCATTATGAGTTTAGAGATCAGGTTAAGTCAGTTCAAAAACTTAGGTGCCTGTGCCTTCCAAGTTACACACTGGTTCTTCAAGTGCAGCTATATGGGTATCCAGGAAAGACATAAACTGTGGCCATGCTCGACTAGTTCCCCAGGAGAATGTTTCAACTGTTGTTTTTTATTTGCTTGTTTTATGCAGAAAATCTAGGCAAGCATTTCTACTCCAGATTTATGTAGATTAAACTGTTTTTATTTGCATCATCTCCTCAAACACCTATGCTTTATATAAAGAACATTCCTCAGACTGGTTTAGGTAATGCTTCAATCAGAGAAACAGTGTTAGGAACTAATACTACAGGACGTCTGGTTCCCAAAGATAGCTCCTAACTACCATTCTTAACGTGGTACTCAGATGTGTTTTGAGAAGGAAAAGATAAGTAGCAAGCTGTTGAAAATGGACAACTTGGGAGTGAGTGAAATTATTCAGAACCCAATCATTGTAAAGCACACTGGATACCAAAACTTGATGCGTTGTTCAAGGTAAGATTATGCATTACACGGGCACCAAAAAAGCTCCATTTGAGCAGAAAGTCTTGAGCCCTCTTCTTCAGAGATCTTCCGTTTTGTTTGCTCATCTAAAAATAACAGAACAAACTGAAGCTGTGAAATCTGTCCTCTTAACGCACATGTGCCCTGTTTGAGTGACTAGGTAGAGAAACTGTCTGACAAGCAGATAGATGATGTGGCTTCATACATATTTCATCAAATAAAGTGATTTTTCCAGGGAATCTTTAACTTCAGCCTGTGTTTGTATTTGTTCTGTTTTGTCATTTTAAAGGCACTGCACCTTTATTCGTTATAGCTTGGTTTCCTACTAGAATTAGGCCATAAGTTGAAATAATTTACAGGCTATTTTAATCTTCTTTTTCAAAAAATGAAGCTTTAAGAAGGATAGACGGTAATGTATGAAGTAAGGGTTGTACTTTTCTGTAAATGATTAACTGGGTTCCCTGGTCCTGAGCGAGAGTCTGTTTTCCTTCCAGAACAAAAAGTCCCCAGACTATAACCAGTTTCCTTGATATGGGGTGGCTTGAGCCAGCTAGTGAGGGACATATTTGCTCTCAATGCCTTTCTTCATGATGGATGACTTGAAGGTTAACTGAAAGCGTTGAAGGAACCAAATAGAAAACATAAAATTGTGACTTTTCAAAATCAGAATTTCAAATGCACAAGATGACAGTTTCAGTTGGTCTTAAGAAGATTTGCTTTTTTGGAAAGACTCAAATTTTTTAAGTTTCTAAGTTTACTTTTAAACTAAATCCTCTCATGCAGGTGTAACTTTAAACATTGATACAGAAAAAAAATAGCATCCTATAGCCTTAGATTAAGAATGAAACAGAACTGACTCCATGTCTAGTGCTTTCAAACCAGTCATATTCCTAATTTTGATATTTGGGTCATTCAATTTTATATGGTTTCAAAATTGTCAAAGTATTTTAAAATTTTAAATTAACATACATACCATTAAATATCATTATGGCATTGTTAAACAAAGTGCATTTTAATAGATGTTTCTTTTCTTCATCTCCTCTCCTATTGCTATATTCAAGTTTCCCATAATCCACCTGAGTCTCTTACCTCTTTTTCTCACTTGTCCCTTTCCCACTCCATCTTTGTTTTCACCCATTTCTTGGCTTCCTTTCTTTTTATGGACAGTTATACTGTGATGCATATGCATATTAAGGCCCAGGATCATGTATGAGGAAGAACATGTGGTATTGCCTTTTTAAGTTTGGATAGTCTCACTTAATATTATGCTTTCCAGACCAACCCATTTTTCAGTGAATTTCATTTTTCCTTACAGATGGAAATAAATTCCACTCTGTATATGTACCACATTTTCCTTATCTATTCTCCTATTCATAGCCATCCAGGTAGGCCTCATTTTCTTGTGATCACAAATACACAAAATGTGGTTTAAAAATACACTGTCTGGACCTTTTCCACACTCATCAAAAGATTACATCCAGGTTAGCATTTTTTCTCTTAAAAATATTTTCTGAATTATTCATAAAAATACCTTAATAACTCTCTGTTCTACCACAGTATCCAACCATTCAATAAATGCCTCCACTGTAGCATTTTTCTTAAGGAGATCCTTCAGTTCTTGGAACACAGTGATGGAGTCATCTACCATGTCAAAAACAAGAGGAGGATGAGGGGGAGGAAGGGAGGGGAAAAAGAGTGGGAGGAGGAGGAAGAGGGAGAGGAGGAAGAGGAGAGGAGCAGAAAGGGAGGAAGGGGAAGAAGAGGAAAGAGTAGAGAGAGAACAATAGTTGGGGAGACAAAGGGAGAGAGAGAAGAGTGGTTATTAAAGGTAAATATGATCAATGTACATTATATACATATGTGAAAATCACATAGTTAAAATTTGTTATTATGAATAGTTAGCAGTAGGTAATTAAAAATTAAAATAGGTTATAACCACTATGAACTCAAGATACATTGAACTATAAAACATTAGTAATTTTGTGACATAAAGGGGAAATGGAGATGGATAAATGTGTGAAATAAGTTAATGCTTTATCCTGTTAGTGGTAACAAAAATACTTAGTGTAATCATCACTTTATCTGTCTTGGGATATACTGAAATATAGGTTAATTTAAATATATATGTTAAATATGTACATTTATACACGTTCTTGATGGTAATCATTAATATAATGAATATTCCTTTTTAAATCAGTACTTTCACTTGCTGAAAGTAACTCATTAGATGAGTCAAAAGCTAATGAATGTCCCAAATGAGGCTTGTTGGTTTTCTGCTTTCTGAAAGGCTCTAACTTCTCCAAATTAAGGCCAGCACTGAAGAACTGAGCCATTTACACAGATAACCGCCTTAATAAAATTTAAGAGGACAGACTAGGATTATCGCTGAAGAGTTTGAGGTCTTCTAAAGCACAAGATGTAACATAGCATTTCCCCCAACAGAAATGAGGCTTGATACTGGACTCTAAGAACAAGCCATTGCTTGAGCCATGTTTATAGTCAGGGCAGTTCTGTCTGGCAGACAGAAAGTGATGGGAAAATAGTCTGGTGCTGCTACCCCTTGATGTTGAGCACAGCTGCGTAGTCACACACATTGGTTATGTTAACTATCAAATAGCCTAATACTGAATCAAATCTCTGCTTTTAATAGCATTGTACTGACACACAATCTTTATATGTTTCACATGCTATACAATGACAGGAGCATGGAACACATACAAATGTGTTCATATAACAGAGGAAGAAAATTTAGAAAACTCAAAGCCATTTGTATTGCTTCCAGGTTATTTTGATTATTTCTAGACAGTAAAATAATCAGTTACTTTTCTTTTCTTCAATATTTCAGACAGTAAATATATCTTTTAAAAGAGAGCATTTTTTAATTAAAAATGTTTCTATAAGAGTTTCTTCAATAGCTGTGATTTTGCCGGCAGAGGCATTCAGTATCACCTAGAGCAGTCAGTAGGTTCTCAACGTTTTGAATACTGTAGCCCTTTAATATAGTTCTTCATGTTGCAATGACCCCAAACCATAAAATTATTTTCACTGCTACTTCATAGCTGCAACTTCGTTATTGATATATGTTGTAGTGAAAATATCTGATATGTAACCCCGTGAAAGGGTCATTGATCTCCCCCATTCCCAAATGGGTCACAACCTGCAGGTTGAGAACCTCTGATCTAGAAACACTTTAGGTTGTCATAACTGGACAGACTGGTTCTCCTAGCACCTAGTACACAGAGATGAATGATGCCCTTAAATATTCTATGATGCATGGCATAACCTCCCTGTTATATTACCCATCAAGAGGTCAGTAGTGTCCAAGTTAGGAGATTCTATTGTTAGCCTAGCAGACTCACGTTCGCTGTAGATGTCAGATTCTGTGTCTGCAGTGTTGGATATGGTAAGAAGAGCCTGAGATCCAATACTATTTAAGTCAACCTTTTCAATATCAGATACCATGGCATTCACCACATGCTGGTCAAAGAGAGCTGGTCTGGCAATCTGCACATAGTCAAAAAAGACAACAAACTATATCAATTGTAGTCTACTTAGAAAAAATTTTAGCTTTGATAAAAATAGTCTCTTGAAGAAAGACAACCATAAATAACTTCTCTCTTGAGTGTATCTGTGTGTAAATGTACATTCGTAACTATGTGTACATATGTGTCTGTGTGGAGGTCCATGATCTGTAATGGGTGTCTCCCTCAGTTTGTCTCCACACTATTTTTGAGACAGAGTGTCTCACTGAACCTGGAACTCACTGATTCAACTAGCCTGGCTAGCCAGAAAGTCCCTGGGATCTATATCTCATTCTCAGTCTCCCCCGCACCAGCTGTCCAGGTGTGAGCCGCTACCATGTCTGGCTTCTGTGTGGGTGTTGTTCCTTAAGTCTGAATGCTAAATGCTTTATTGACCGAATTATCTCCTCTGGTCAAATTTCTTACGCATTTTAAGATAACTGAAACACATAATTGCTTGTGAGACAAGTACAAAATTTCTTTTAAGATTTATAAAATGAAAATAAAAATTTTGATTCATCATGACGAAGCAAGGGATATAAAGTGTTAATTTAAAAATAGCATTTTAAAGCTGGGGTGGTGGTGACCTGTGCCTTTAATCTCAGCACTCAGGAGGCAGATCAAGACCAGCCTGGTCTATGAAGCAAGTTCCAGGACAGCTAGGGCTACACACACACACACACACACACACACAATCCTCTCTTAGAAAACCAAAACAAGGAAAGCAAACAGAAAAGAAAAAGGAAAAGGAAAAGGAAAAGAAAAAAGAAAGAAGGAAAGAAGGATAGAAGGAACGAAAGAATGAAAGAACGAAAGAATGAACAAACGAAAGAAAGACAAAGACAGAAAGAAAGAAAGAAAGAAGGAAAGGAAGAAAGAAAGAAAGAGAGAGAGAGAGAGAGAGAAAGAAAGAAAGAAGAAAGAAGAGAAGGAAAGAAGGAAAGAAAGGAAAGAAAGGAAAGAAAGGAAAGAAAGGAAAGAAAGGAAAGAAAGGAAAGAAAGGAAAGAAAGGAAAGAAAGAAAGAAAGAAAGAAAGAAAGAAAGAAAGAAAGAAAGAAAGGCAAAGGAAAGGAAAAGAAAAGAAGAAAAGAAAAATAACATTTAAAATGCTACATTTCTTATCTGAACCTATAACTAGGTTTTTTTGTTGTTGTTTTGTTTTTGTTTTGTTTTTATTCAGGACACTGAACACCTTCCTAAAGCCAACAATTATAACACAGTAATAACTGTATGTGGTGTTCCTACCTATGAATTAGTTTGCTGCTCTCTGTCTGACAGTGACTATAAGTAGCAGTTTAAAGCACAGAAGGCATGGAGGTTTGAGAACATTAAATATCACACAGACAGGATAGTGAGATGGCTTGAAGCGTAAGAACACATATGGCTCTTCCTGAGGGTCTGGTCCCCAGTGCCCAATGCCAATCAGTTTACAACCACCTGTAAGATCTCCAAGAGTATCCAATAGCTCTGGCCTCTGCAGGTGCCTGCACTCATGTGCACATACTACCGCAGAAGAGAACACACATACCCAATTTAAAAGATAAATCTAAAAGAGGAATTACGCAGCCTTACTACTTACACCTTTAACTTGTACTAGTCTTCTTTTGAGATTGCAATAACAATAACCTTTAAAATTTTTTTAAATAAATTTGAATCACAGAAACTTTGCAAAACTAATGTAGAATTTCAGAATTCTCTCCATCCAGCTATACATCATACTATCCACATGGTATCCATTTCCAAAACCAGGAGATTAATGTTTGTACTTTGTAGTTAGCTAAGCTGCAAACATACAGATAGAATTTTGTTTCTGTGAATCCTCTCAGGTCTAGCATTTGCACTAGGTTATATGTCTTTATGTTGCATACTTTGTTTCCTTTAAGTTGTGAAATCCTTAATCAGAAGAGACCTTTTGATTTGAGTGACTCATATCCTCAGCTGACCCCATACCTGAGCAAGATGCAAGAAAGATGTCTGACGCTTCAGAGAAGATACAAATCTTCGCAAAATGGGGATTTTCCTGTCAATGAGGGCTTCTGGCAAGTTTTCCAAGGATGAAACAACCCACTGTTCCCAATTTTTAGCAAAATTTCTTATATCTGCTAACAAGCTGCAAAGAAAACTCTGGGTTAGGTGCTACATTGCTCAAAACTCTATTGGACATACACTTTTCAATAGAGGGATTCTGTTTGTCTATGCTTCCAAAAGCATGAGTTTGAAGAAGCCAAAACAGAATCAGCCTGGGGCTGCTATTCATGATCTTCAACAAAATGCTCAAGTTCCTAAAACTCCAGTTTCTTTATCTATTAAATGGGACTCAGAATAGTATCTGGTCATTTGATTATTTTGAGAATTATAACAAATAACTCATGGAAAATGCCCTGGTTTGAGCCTAGCACAAAGGTAACACATAAGTACCATATTATGATTCATGACTCAATTAATTTCTGTGAAATACATTTCTTGGAAAGTATGTCAGCTTTGTGTTCCACATTTTGACTCCTTAGATGATATTATACTGGCAATATAATATATTACGCTTAGTATCAGTTTTATTAACATAGTCTTATCATCTAAATTTTATTCAACAGGTGACCAAAAACATACGACTTAGAGTCAACTTAGAAAATTGCAAATTGTGGCAGAGTGTGTATAAGAACATATAAGTGTTTAAAACTCTAAATCTTCATATTTGTTTCATAGCAGCAGTCTGAGTATAGTTGCTGTGGTTTGTGGTGGTAAGACTTAGGGAAAAGACTAAGCAAGTCTCCAGGTCAAACTCTGGGGTTTAGCTGGCTCTGGGATATTAAACGAGTTTCTCTCTACTTCCAGGTTCTCCACTTGTTAATTTTGGGATTATAATATCTACTCTCAAAAATATTTCAGCATTTATTTATCGTTCAATGAAAAAGAGTTGAGAAAATAAAGTATAGTATCCTTTGAATGCTGGGAAGGTTTGCTGTCTCTTAAATGGAAAGTGCAGAGCCAAACTTATTTATGTGGGAATGTTCTTGGAGGAAGTGCTACAATGTTAATATTATGCTTTCAGTTTTTAAATTGTGCGTAGTCACAGATGTTTTGAAAAATATGATTTAATTCATCTCAGCTGTTACTTACTACTGTTTTTAAGTAGTCATATGAGCAGCTGCTGGCCACTAAATTTGACTGTGACACTGAATCATCGTATTAAGTAATTGCAAATACAGATTAGATGTGTAAAGTACACCAAGGATAATTAAAAGAAACTATTGACCAGATCAGGGACAACTATTACATAATGAAAGAAAATAATCCCATGAAATTGTGTCAAAAGTGGATATTTTTATCAATTAATATGCATTGGAGCACTATGTCAAGACATAAATTGTTTTGTTGTCTCTGTTTAAAAAGAACTTATTAGACCATTTTCAAGAGAAAATTTTGGTCATTTCCAACCAAACTTCTATGTTTTCACCCTGGAGAAATTGTTGTGTGAAAAATCTTCCTATAAATTTTAAATTAAGTATTTAAGATCTTTGTTTTTTGCTGAAAGGTCATAATTTCATTATACCATTTCCTGGTTGTAGAGAATAAGTTAATCATAAATGTATAGTAATTAAGAATTTTCCAAAATTTCTTTACAGGGTTTATTATTGTGCTTATTTTCCCATTGGCTATCTCATGCATCCACTATCTAATCTCCACTAAAGAATTTCAGAAGCCCATTGGAGGTCAATTACGCTTGGTCAACTTATTTTACTTTGGCAGGCTTCACACTGAAGGAACTTTAGGTTTTTATTTTACCCATTTTATTTGCTGATGCTCAAATATAGAGACTGGGGCACACCCCTTCCAGGTGATAGAAAGGTATAAAAATTGTATTTTTGATAAAAGGATGAGTTCCAAGCCAATGGTTTGCATTAACAGTCTATCTGGTGAAACCATCATTCTTACGAGGGACTGTCCTGCTTTATTAGCTGAACATACCTTTCAGGCATTTCTTGCATTGTTGCAGGAATGAGGACATCTGTAAGAACCTTAACCAAAGCAAAATGAAGGTTAACATAAAACTTTAGAAATGATTGTGATTGGAGTTCTGGGAGAACAGGCTTGTGTCTCATCATCCAGGCAGAGCTGGGAACTGAACCAGGACTTCCAGTATGCTAGGACAGCACTCTGCCCCTGCATCCCAGGCACCAGAAATGATTACTTCTAGTGCAAGGGACACTATTTGTCGATCAGATTTACTTGTTACCTTCCTAGAGAGTATATGATTCCTTTCTGAATCTTAGCTTTTTTTCTCCAAACTGAGTGTGAGTTGTCTGTGAGCACATGAGACAGTAAGTCAACACCCCTAGTATGAATTGCCCATGCTAATTAGCCTTGCTAATCACACAGTTTTCTGGACTAGACATTGGATACTCTCTGTAAGTTGGTGAAGATCTTACAGATGCACAGTTTACAGTTTTATTTGTTGTGACCTCTGCTTCTCTCTGGCTCTATAATGAGGTAGAAAACTAAATGTACCTAGTGATAACTTAAAATCAGGTTGTTGTTGCACTGGACTAAAAGAAAAAAAATAGTTTGTGTGTGGGTTGGGCATGAAAGCTGTTTCTCAGAAGAACCGAGTGGTAGCTCCAACGTTGCTGCTGTGATGGTGACAGCTGTGTACCTGAGCCTAGCTAGGTTTTTCCTGTGTTCATTCAGATCTAGCTTTCATCTAATAATCGATTTTTTTAAGTGGTGAGAATTTACAGAGAGTCATGTTAGTGCAAAATGAACCTTTCTTTGTAAATACTGGCCTTTATTCAATTAAAACAAAAACAAAACCAAGACAGTTCTTGCTCTCCCTTGTCATTCAATGTAAGCCTGAAGCAAAGGCAAGAATACCCTGCACTTAGCTCTGCATTCTCTCTCTCTCTCTCTCTCTCTCTCTCTCTCTCTCTCTCTCTCTCTCTCTCTCTCTCTCTCTCTCTCTCTGTGGCTACTGAACAGGGCACAAAAGTATGGCCCTTTGGTTCTCATTCTTCAGACAAGCTGTCTGATGTTACCTCTGAATGATGTAGCTGGTGTTTCCTCTAGTTTTCTGCAAAGCTGAGAGTGCCGAAGCAACTAACTTGCTCAACAGGTTTGAACCTTCTTATCAACTCAGATGATGTTTTCAATTGATAACTTTTATTTTTCCTTATGACAATTTGGTAGGTAAATGTGGGTACATTTATTTTAATGTATCCAATTGCAATATCATTTTACCTTTCTGTTTGGGCCTTCTTACTGCTCAGCTGAGGAAGATAATTCCCCCCTTCCCACTAAATGTTTGGTTAGGCCAACCTAGTCCTCTTTCCCAGGATCACTTCTTGTGACCATTCTAAAGAAATCTATGGACTCTTACTAGGTTAAGTACAGAAATGAACATTAATGCATTTAAACTAGAAAATTTAAAGGTGTTAATTCTACGAGGAATAGATGAGAAATCCCCTGAGACATTAGATGTCATATTATGTTAATCTGAATACACCTCACAGAGGTAACAAGAATTAATAAATTTGATCACATATTAGCCACCATGTCTTATTTTAGATTGTTCTTAACTGTAAACAGAAATTGAGCTGGTTTTGTTTACTACAAAGTTTTTTAATAATTATAAATAAGTTATAAACATTAAGAGTGTTATTTAAGGATATAAAGTGTGCTTAAGACACCCCAAGAGGCTTACCTTGTAAAGAATTGAGTCACAAACACAGAAAATGTCAATGATAACAGGATTTTCAAGCAGGGGAAGGAGATGGTCTGGCATTCCTTGCCAAAAGTGTAGTGAGAAATGCTGGATCTGGTTGTAAAGAGCACATTGAACTTCTTAGGAACAGGATGCGAAAGTTTACGTAATGCCATAGACAGACATTCGGTCAACTCACCTCTTCAAAGTTCCCATTGATTGCGTTGTCAAGTATGCACTGGCAGTGAGTTTTGTACATCATTATGAGAGTATCAACCTATGTTAAGGAAGAAAAAAGCACTTGACCAAGGAGTCTTCTAGTGTTTATTATTTGTTCAGTTCATATTTTCAAGCTCCTCTTATAGACCAGGCATTTTGTTCAATGCAGAAGATCTGGTACAAAGATTAAATAGTTTTCCCAAGGATCTTTCTCTCCAGTGAAGGAAAAGGACAAGGAAAGTGGTACTCTGACACTGTATGACATGATATGGTGCTCTGTGATGCAGCATGATTGTAATAAGAGCATTTTAAGATCTAGTAGCAAGGAAACTATTGACTAAAACGACATCTTAATTTCTTCATAAGAAAAAATATGTTTAGAGAGTGCCAGACAAAGGCAAGTCTCAGCTCAACTGTAGACAGTGAATATGGAGGGGAGCTGGCCACCATCTTGAGTGTCAACAGAACAGCCCCTCCCAGCTCTTGACACAGTTGTTTACTTGGACCAGCTTCACACAGAGCATGCTCCACTCTTTCTGTCTAGTGAAAAGGGTGCTTCAAGCCCTTGGCTTTAGACCCAACCTCTTTCTAAGAGCTGATTGGCTACCTGTGGACCCTGGCAATTGTGGGAAGGTAAAAGGGCTAAGTTGTCCTCAAGAAAATGGGTGTCAGTTCCTGGACTCATATAAGAGTCCACTGTGAATGAATTTGGAAGCCAGGGCTCTTAGAATCACCTCTGAAACCTGAGTGAGAAATGATGTGCCAATGTGAAAAGTTAGAATTATTTGGAGACCAGCAGAGACACTGAAGTAAACCATTGGCACACCTTGCCTGTCTATTTTTCTATGTCACTTTCCTTCCTCTCTGGCTCTCACCAGGTAGATTTACACAGTAAACATCTTTATGGCTTGTATGCATGCAAGCAAACCTCTCCGCGGAGGTGAGCCAATACCACTCTTCCTCCAAGAAGTGAAGTCCCACTGATTTCTACCACTCTCCCTACAAGCAGCTACATGTTAATATTTACCAGCAATTTCTCTAGTATGAATTCACTCTATGAAGAAACAGTATGTTAACCTTGAGTACTGTGGTTGGATGAGAGAACAGAAGGAAATGGATGTATTCAATCTGAGAATTATCTTCACTACTTGACCTATTCTTCTCTAATGAAGCCCATCTGTCACCCGAACGTGTTCTATAGTTACTTTGCTTCTCTGCTTATGTATAAATAGATTAAAATTCAATTTTCCATTTTTATTTCCTCTTTCTATAAAGTTGCTAAACTTGCTGGGTTTAATTTACAACACTCCTGTGTTTGCACTTCAGAATATAAGTTGTATGAAAAGCACTTTCATATAATGTGAGCTGTACTTGAAGGAAACATAAAGATTATTAACTGATTCAATAATGGTATCCTCTAACAAATGGCAGGATTCTCCAACAAACAACTCTAGAAGTGCAGAAAGAGAACAAGACTTAGTGGGAGAGTTTATTAAAGAAGCATTGGAAATTAATATTGAAGAATACCCAATGAAATGCTTCTCCCTTTTGTCATCTTCTGTAACACTTATATTTAATTACTGTTCCTTCTCAGTGCTGGGAGCAGATTATATCCTAGAAAAATGCTTGGTGACTATTTATTGAGATAAAAATTGAATTAAAGCCAACCAAAACCATAAAGCTTGCCACTGAAAACCAGGATGAAATAGTCACATTCTAGTATTTTTTTTTACCCTCAATTTTGAATTTTAAATAAAAATAATCTTTAGCCCTTGGAATTTATTTTACCACCTTCTGATTACACACTATCATAGATATGGTAAATAATTAATTGGAAAGTGTTTAATCAATGTTAGTAAACATTTGTCTCTCTTATAAATCAATCAATTCTGTGTGATAATGTAGATTTCTGATTGCTTCCTGCAAGTGCCATAAGATTCCAAACAAAAGGAGATATGGAGTCAACATATCAGAAAATCGATAGAGAAGTGTCTTTAATTGATACCTTGTCCTTAGAAATGCATCCTTGGTACACAAGATGTTGAGCGCTGGGGAATTCTGGAAGAAGTGTTCCTGTTTTTGAGCTAAGTGAGTATTTACGAGTAAAACCACCCTGTAATTAAGAGAGGCACAAAAAATGTCAAATCCCAAATTTGGTAATGAAACAGAAATAAACATTGAGAGTTTTGTTTTGAATATTTGTCAATCTTTGCAACTTTTAGAGTAAACTTAAATTCATATTTATTAATGGTATAATTTGGAAGATCTACTTCTGGAATTATTAAAATTATTTTAGCTACAAAATCAAGGATTGCTGGATCCCAACTCTGCATTTATCAGTAATATGAGCAAGATGGTGACAATTAGATTTACTTGTCCAGTCTCAGGTGGGTTAACTACTGCTAGAACTTTACTAGAATCTAAATCACCTGATCTCCAAATTATTCATCTGTACTTCTCTACACTGTCCACCACACTGAATTTGGTGTTTGTCATTCCTTTGCATTTTCCAGAAGAAATTTGTTTTCAGGAAATTAGAAAAAATGCAAATGCATATTTGTAATAATGTGTAATGTTGCAGAGCTGGCACCTATAAGAAACCTGCACAGGAAGAGTGAGTGCTTTTTCACAATGAACCTGAAGCCTCCACAAATGTTCCACAGGACAGAACTGATTGCTCCAGCTCCAGAAACAGACTTTAACACACTTTTCAAAAGCAGCAATCCTTGGGAGGAAGAAACAGGAAAACTAGGAGTTAAAGGACAGCCTCACCTACACAGAGAGCCAGAGGCAACCTGATCTACCTGGGACTCTGTCTCAGAAAACAAAGACTAAAACTGAAATTTAAAAATTTAAGTTAATTAATTTAATTGTCCAGGAGTTAAGATCAACATGGAACCTCAAAAAATGAAAAAGCTTCTATCCAGCTAAGGAACCAGCCAACCAAGTAAAGAGCAAGCTCATGGACTGGGAAAAGATCTCATACATCTAACTGAGGATGTATATTCAGAAACATAAAGAGCTCAAAAACCAGAGTCAAACCCATAACCCAACTAAAAAGTAGACTATAGATTTGAATAGAGAGTTTTGAAGTGAAAGAATGCCATAGAGTACCTGAACTTGAATTAAGAAATAAAAAGCTAAGAGAAAGGGGGAATAAATACAAGGTAATTACAAAAGTCAGATGAACTCTACTTCCTGTCTTCACTTAAGAGTCTAATACATAAAGAAAAAAACAATTATTAATGTAAACATTAGTCTTGTAAGTTTTACTTTTTACCTCTACATTTTATTTTCTATATAATTTAATAAATAGTAACTATTAGTTTAGATTTTAGGACACACATTCACACATACACACACGCACACACACACACACATATATACATATACATATACATATATATATATAGTGTAATTTTGTGACACTACTAAAAAGGATAGGGATAGACGTGTAAAGTAGTTGGTTTTATGTGTTACCGAGATTTAGCAGTCAGAGAGTACATCCAAAAGTTGGTGAGAAGGGGAATTGTACTCTAAAAATTAGAGACAAAGGGGACATAGTAAAACAAAGTGAACGTATATGCTAGGATCTGGATTCCCACTCTTATACATAAGGGTCTATGGAGTGCTCACATCAATATTGCTTTTCATATTTAAAAATATCTCATTAAATACATAATGAATACATTCATCTTGGTGTTTTCCCATAATGGAGGTCTGTATAATAGTACAAAATAAAGGAACTAGAACTTTATATTTGGTATTTGAAAAATCACAAACCTGAGTATTAAATAAAAACAAATTTTCCGAACAAATGATGCCATTTTTATAGAGAGTAAAACTGAACAAAAATTAAGCAACAAGTGTGGCTGGGGATGCATGCTTAAGCCATAAACTGAGCCAGAAACATAGAGAATGAGGAAGGTTTTAAGAAGGAATTTGGTTGCTTGGGGAATAAGGCCAACAATTGACAAATGGGATCTTATGGAATTAAAAAAAAAAAAAGGTTCAGTACACCAATAGAAGCAGTTAGCTGAGTAAAGAGACAGCCCATAGAGTGAGTGAAATCTTTTTATACATCTGACAGAAAACCATATCTACAAGGAACTATGAAAACTAACCCCCCCAAAAAAACCAAAAAAATCAAGATATAGAATAAGAAATTGAAAGATTTTTGAAAAGAAAAGAATTTCAAGTTTGACCGAGGTGACTCAGTGGGTAAAGGTGCTTGTTGTGCAGATGTGGGGGCCTAGATTTGAACTGGCTTAACTCACATAGGATCAGAAAGGGAGCATGCGTCTGTAAACCTGACCCTTCTAAGGCAAGAAGAGAAGTGGAGAAGAAAATCCCCTGGATCTCTCTCGCCAGCTGTCAGGTTTATGCAGTACCAAACAGACTCTGTCCCAAAGTGGAAAGTGAGAACTGACAACCACTGTTTTTCTCTGACTTCCATAAACACACTGTGGCTTGAATGCGTCTGTATTCACACACACAATTGTACACGTGCACACACACCCACATACATACCCTACTTTGAGGATTCCATTTCACCTGATCATAATTGTTTGCCTCAAGAAAACAAATGACAATAAATGCTCATGAGGGTGTAAGGAAGATGAACCTTATTCACTGTTAATAAGAGTGCAAACAGGGTAGCCTCTATGGAAATCAATATGGAAGTTGCTCTAAACGTAGATCTATCCTAAGGCTTAGTAACATCACTCCTTAACATATGCCCAAAAGATTCTATAATTTATGACAAAGAAAAGTGTGCATCATGATACTCTAGTTATAGTAGCAAAAAAATGGAATCAGTGTAGATGCATATAAATTAGAATGGCTAATTAGACATATATATTAAGATATATACATATATGATATATAAAATATATTTATGATATATGTCATAAAATTTTATCCAGTTGTGTGTAAAGAAAACTGAAATTTGCACAAAAATTGTAGGAATTTATATTGTTGGAAAAATATATTAACTTAGGTAACCTGAGCTCAGAAACACAAATATCACATGTTCTCTCTCATAAGACAATGCTAGCTTATAATTTTTATGAATGTGTATTTATGTCTAAAAGTTAGGAAACAGAAAAGGGCCCATTAGAATTCTTTGAGAGAGGAACAGTCTTTTGGGGAAGTGGCAATAATCATGTGTGATGTGAAAGTGGTAGCAGAAATACTGGGAGTAGAAAGATTTACATGAGAAGAGAGAGGACAAAGATTAGTTCAAGGATGGAGTGAGGAGAGGGTCAACCAAAAGTAAGCAGATATTTTAAAATTATAAGGAAATGTGCAACTTTATAAGTTAAACAAAACTAACATTTTAAAAAGAGTTTGAACAGAGGTATTTTGCATGGGTAGATAAAGCTATTCCCCCAAAACATAATATTATTAAATTAACATCCCAGAGAGAACAAGGTCCTCTGAATCTCAACTAACCAAGGAACAGAAGATCTCACAGAGAGTAAACAGGCAAGCACAAGGCCTCCATGGGTCTACTCCAGCTCCTCTGCATATGTTTTATTATAATGATTAGCTTAGTCTTTTTATGAGACTCTTGATTTTGAGAACAAGTGTGTCTCTGACTCTTGTGCCTACCCTTGGGACTCTTCTTCCTGTTGAATTGCAATGTCCAACTTCAGTATGATAGTTTTTGCTATATCTTATTATATTTTCTTTTGTCAAGTTTGATTGTTGTCTCTTGGAAGCCTGTCCTTCTTTAATGAGAGACAGAAAGGAAGTGATTCAAGAGGGAGAGGGAAATGGGAAGAAACTGAGACTGGGTGACGAAACTGGGTGAGGGGAAGCTATAATTAACAATATATTGTGTGAGAAAATATTCTATTTTTAATAAAATGAGATAAAAACATTAAAACCCAGTTTCTAACAAAAATAATAGAATATATTTCTTCACCAGGACAATATAATTAGATTTTATTTTATTGCAAGGGATTAAAAGTTTCTGAGAAATTCTCCACAATTTTGAAATTTAAAACATGTATTTATAAACAAAAATTTCAAATTAATCTAAATTCATAAGATTACAAATGAATTATACTTACTGTCCTGTTTCTGAGTTTTTTTTATTGTTGTTTAGCTTGTGCTGTAGCTTTGCAAAGCTATGTAGAATAGCTTTGCAAGTATGATAAATGTACTTATCATCCTGACTAAGACAGGTTACTTTTCCTTTCCACTAGAAAAAGTTAATGATCTGGGTGTGGTCTAGATCACCACTATTCGTACTTTAACTGTATTTCCTATAGATAGATTCTGAATCAATATTTATTATTTAAAATTGGTACCATACATAAAGTATCTTATATTGATGTCCTTTATATTCCACCTACTATGGTTTCAAAATTTCTCAGATTCTAAAGACAGTTCTCTCATTCTCATTAAATCACAGTAAATATTTAAATTATTTTCGAGCATTCAAATACAATGCTGATAAACGATGCTGAAATGAACATTCTTATATGTGCCTCTCTGTTCTGTGAGAGTTTCTTTAAGAATGCTATTAAATATGATGCCTTCAACTTCATCAGATATTGCCTTTTCTAGTATTCAGGAGTGTTTTTTTCTATACTCTTAACTACAGCATTTCTTCAGACCTTTTATTGTTTTGAATTTAATAATTGTGAAAATTTATTCATAATAGTTTTAATAATTTTGCATTTCCTTTTTCTTTTCATTTTTTTTCAAGACAAGAATTCTTTGTGTAACCCTAGCTCCTCTGGAACTCACTCTGTAGACCAGGCAAAGTACCAAGTGCTGGGATCAAATGTGAACATCCTATGCCTGGCTTGCATTTTTCTAACAAATATTTGTATTGAGTAATTTTTATTGACAAAGATAGTACTCAAAATATTATTTTTTCATTTAGTATGGATTCTAGCCATCTAAAATGGGTGGCTGGAACATCAGCACTTTATGGTAGTCATTCTTGTTATTGTTAGGTGAATTGCCTATATTACTCTTGGTTATATGTCATTTTAAAAGATTTTAAAATTTTTATTTAATTATGTGCATGTTTGTGGTTATGTATAAATGAATTCAGGCGACCATGGAGACCTGAAGAGGGTGTCAAATACTCTAGGACTAGATTTACAGGAGATTGTGAATTATCTGATGTGGTTGCTGGGAACCAAGAATTCTGGTCCTCTGGAAGAGCAGAAAGTATTCTTAATCTCTGAGACATCTGGTCCACCTCATTCTGTTACATTTCTAATGTATCACATTTTTTACACATCATAGAACAGTGATGCTCAGTAGAACTTCTCTAATGTTAATGTTCTGTATTTATTCTGTCTAAAATAGTAACCATTCACTGCATATAATTTATAATCAATTGAAATATAGCTAGTATGACTACAAATTTTAATTTTTAGTTTTGTTTAATGGCTTTCCATAATTAGTAGCCACCATATCCCAGAATATACTTATAAATACTATCTCTGTCTAGACAAGTCAAAAGTCCTAGATGAAAACACAATACTGTTTTTCTGCTAAATGGATATAGTATTAAAGTAATTCCTAATGACTCATTACTGTACATGTAGATTAGTGAGTCTCTTATTATTTATCAGAAAAGCTTCTTTTGTATTAGATAGTTATTAGTATAGAGACTTAAAACTGGCCAATGTGCAGAGCATAAGAAACTATGGAGTACTCAGCATTCATTGGGACATTTATATCACACCCCTTTTCTTCCAGACTTAAGGGTCATCCTGATACAGGATGTGGAAAGATTGCAAGTGACAGAAGTCGTACACATCTATATAGCAAAACAGTAGTTACTAGAAATGATTGACAGATTGCAGAAATGAACTCACAGCTGCTGTGATTTCATGCACAAGATCTACACAAGATCTGCACAAGATCAAGCCAACCAAAGATCCCAGCATGTGCTGGAGAGGAACCCATGAAGCCCCACCCTAGCTTAGGGGCTATTTGTAACTGGTGGTACCTAGGGAAAGTAGAGTCAGTTTTGATGGGATGCCATCTGTGAAAACCTACCCAAGTTTTAGTTGAAGAAAGGAAAGTGGGGAAGATTTTATCAAAAAACAATTTACACATGTGTGAAGTTCTCAAACAATAAAAGAATAAAAAACAAGCAAACAAGGAGAACAAACAATAATCAAAACTATAGGTTTGAGATGAAATAGACTACAACACTACTATCATCATGTCTTTCTGTCATACACATCAATATGTTAAGATTATTTTAAGATCAATATCAAACATATTAGTAGAAACGCAAAACAACAGTAACAACAAAAATAACTTTGTTTTTCTCTTGAGGAAGCATCAAGGCAGGCTTTGTGCTGACAGGTATAACTCGTGTTACATTTTGCTTTGATAAGCCTACTTTCTCTAGCAATGACTTGGAGCAAGTCTTTGAAAAATATCTTCATCCCTTTTTATTGTAGCCAACCCTTACCACACACTCAGTCTTTATTTATACCAGAGAACTTTCTCAGCTACTCAATCTCTACTGCATTTTTTCTGTCTACAGTTGAGTGCATATCAGATACTCAAAATACTTTGGTGTCTAATAGATATGTACTCTTATGGAGTCTTCTGGTTTATACTTCTTTTAAGTGTTATTTTCTATATATTCTAAGCTTATAGCTATTTTGATTATTTTCAAAATTACTCACCATAAAGGTGTCTATTAGACTACTATATAAAGAATTAGCATATTTATAATATCGAGTGGATCTAACCAGTAGTATCTTTGACAATTTTAATTTTAACATACTGTGCTTTTTAAAAATTATGACTCCCCTTCAAAATTCTTCAGATTTCTGTCATCCAAATTCTATAATTTCCTACCATTCATGTTTTCTAAGACTGTCTCCACATGTCTCAACAGAAGATCCATGAGAAATGAAGTATTATCAAAAACTATCTGGATTTTCCTACTTCTCCCAGAAAGATATGTAACTAATATGTGTCTTTCAAAAGAGTTCTGCATATGGTGAGTGCCTAGGGACATTAGGACTGAGTTCCCAACCCTGGGAAAAGTGATTGAGAAAAATTGACTTTCCTAAAGCTCCCCCAACCCATTTCTTCTCAGGCTGCTTCACAGCTGGTGACCTGACAGAGAAACAGCACCTTAGGGAAGCTGCCTCAACTTGCTGTCATAGAGTTTGCCACATCCATCTGAATTTGCCTTTCCACTTTCCAGTTTGAAAGGAAGAGGTGCACCTTCATTCCCATGTCTTCGTCAGGATGATGAGTATATGGGATTTTACTATTTATTATACATGTCTTTGCAAAGCGTTAAGCACTTCAGAATGTAAAAGCAAACAAAAGCTGGACATAACAAAAGCTAAACAACAATTAAAATGAAAAAGAGATGACAAAAAAGTTAATACACATAGTGGTTTATAAATTTTGATTGTCTTAAATTTTAGTTCATAAATACATGTTTTAAATTCCACATATTACCTTGTCCTCTAGAACTTGTAGTATTATAAATATGTAAATTAGTTGCCTAGACTGTGGATTTAAAAAGCAGAACCCACTTGATGTGTATGCCCATGCGTCCCTCAGCCTTCGTAGCTTTGGCCATAAATCAACAGGATTAGCAGCTACTCAGTCTATCTCAGAATTATTAATATTCAAATAACCTAAAGTATACATATATTTGTACTGATTATTTTTTGTCCTTATCAAATAGGAATTGTTGATCACCTTAAGCACAAAAATAATTTTTAAATTTTCAAGTTTGTTGTGCAAATATCTCATTTAAAGATCACTTTTTAGGCAAATGAGGGTTCAGCTCAGTGGTAGAAACTGCCTAACACATGCAATGCCTCTAGTTCAGCCCTCTGCCTGCAACAGGTACTTGGTTCTGAGCTTTTGGAAAGCTCTTTTATGGTCAGTCATCATTACAAAAATATATTACTGTTGTTGCAGGTGCTTGTAGAAAATAACATGCCACAAAGAGTTTATTAACAACTTTAATAGCTAAATGTGAATTAGTAATGTAGTCAACTAACGAGTAACAAGTAGATCTCAGATGCATTTTCCTTTTACTTTGTGAGCTAAAATATGCTGTACACAGGGCAGATCAGTGGATGCATGAAAGCTCAGTGGCCATCTCATCGGACTCGAAGAACACCTGAGTGAAATCACTGACAACCCCTATTGACCTAATCTTAAATGAACCAACGTGCGTTTCTAAGTCAATATTTTTGCAGTTTTGTGATTGTTTATTTAATAAAAGCTATTATTTCATTGATAAAAAAAGCAATCTGGAGTTTATTGTGTAATTAACCATTAACTTTTTAAAAAGTATTGGAAAGAAACTGGTCATTTCAGAGAGTTGGGACCTTTTATTATTTCTTACAATAATTTGCTTGCATTATTTCATCAAGTTAATGGAGTTCCACTTTACTTGAGTTATGATTTACCACACAGCACATTGTCATGTGCCTTGAGTTCTATGGCACCTTGTTTTAATGATTAGTTAAGATGAAGATAATGAAGGTCTTATCATGTGCCTAATTAGCCATGCAGTCCTTAATGGCAGTCTAACTCATTTAGATAAAGTCAGTTTGCTGATATGTTCTTTAAGGAGAGGTTGGAGAGGAAGCCAAGGGAAAAAGATTTCATATAGTGTGTTTGTGAGTTGTGTGCATGTACAAGTGCATGTGTGTAGTTGGATGCATGCATGTGAGTACCTTTATATGTGTACATGTGTGTGTACATGTGTGCATGCAAGCATGTACATGTGCTTGTGCATGTGTGTATATGAATATATGTGCTTCTGTGTGTGTGTTTGTGTGTGTGTGAGTGGTGTGTGTGTGTGTGTGTGTGTGTGTACACAGAGTAGCAGAATACACAGCAGGGCAGTACAGCATTGGGACTTCCTGACAACTATGAAAGCTTTTTCCTGAATCAATGTAGTTCAATTACCATTTCTTCCTGTATCTTCTACTTAAGCTTTTCTAGTCATTGAAGTAGAAATTCTTAGGGCAGTAGTGGCCTACTTTTTAATTTCTAAGTATATGGTATTAAATTATTTCAGTTAAACTGAAAATTATCCCTCCCAAGCAAACTGGAAACTCTTAAACAGGTCCATGCAAAGATTCTCACTCTAATTTAACTGTATTTGAAGTTCTTGTTTTCAATTGGTGCCCAATAAATAACATTTACTTTTATACTTAAGTAACAAAACTTTCTGACCTTCTAAGATACATAGCAGATGTGAAACAGATGAGAAGCATTCTTACCTCATTCTTCAGTTTGCTTCCGGAAAACCTTAAAAATCATAAACCTTCCATTAGTTTCAAAGAAATTACCATTACAGCAAAATAACACAGAGGACATTAAAAGAAGTCTGTTTCATAGCATCATTACTGTTCAAATGTCTATAAAATGGTTTGATGGAGGAAATTAATACAGAAGATATCTCAGGATGTTGGGTAAGATTTGAGACAAGCAAAAACACTTTATACTAAAGTTTTGTGTGTGTCCTAGCCTGTATTTACATTTTATTGTGGATATTTACTAGTAACCTACTACAATAATACCCAAATTAATCTTAGCATAACTCAAGTGACTAATTTTTCTCCTAAGATATTTTACCATTAAAACTAGTTCTTCTTTTAAGAGTTATAAGTAATTCTACATAACTATGTCATGAGGAAATCTCAGGTGAAGTTTTAATTAGTCTTTTCCAACATTCTTCTAAAAGTTGTGTACCCACAGGTCTTGTTGATCATAACATCACATATTAATATTCTGCTCCTGATAGTTCATGGCAGCTTAAAACAATGCACTCTTTATAGTAACATGTATTTTTGTCACAGAGATTCAAATGAACAATCATACAGTACTCTCTTAATAAGTAATATGGTACTCAAAGATTATGTTTAACAATGATTATAATAAAATTTTTGCATTGCTAAGGTATTATTCTAATATACAGATTTTTAAAACAACTCTCTTTAAAAGTATCACATTTTAAACTTTATTTTTTATGAATCCAGCCTGAAAATAGACTCACCCTTACGAATAAATAAAAATATTTAAAATATTTGTTTATTTTTATGTTATGTGTATGGGTGTTTTGGGCTGCATGGATGTCTGTATGTCCTGGATGCCAGAAGACAGCATTAGATCCTCTGGAACTTAGTTTTGAATGGTTGTTAATTAGAGGATGTGAGTCCTTTGCAAAACCAAGTGCTCTTAACCCTGAGCCATCTTCTCCAGCCCCTGACTAAGTGTAAACTTAAAGGCAATTCTTCTTCCTTGCATTCTCCTCCTTATCTCTTGGGGGACACTTGGTTCACCATTACTTTCTCGTTAACCATTAAAATTATATAATTTACCAAGTTATCTAGATAACTTGATAACTTGATAATGTTCACACTATACTGACATTAGGTTTGACAATTAGAAGAAAACATTTTCATAGTAAGAAAAAATTACAAAGCAATTCATTGAATAGATATCACATATACTTAAAGAAATGAAGAAATGTTTGGTGAAATATGTTATCACTCTACCTTGTTAAGCCCTTTCCAGAGTAAACAGAGTGGTAATATGCACTGCTTTCTTTGATGCCAATTCCATAGTAATGATACCTATGTCAAGATAAGAACCATTTCTTCATTAATGAAAGGGAAACAAAACTTAGGGATAACTGCACTAACCCATCAAGACCTGCTACCCACAGGAAACCACCCCTGAGAAATACCACTGCCCATCTTCCTGCCATGCTTTTCCATCCATGGTCAGGAAATAGAAAAAAACTAAAAGATGAGAACATTTTCATTGAACTTCAGACTAACTGGAGCTCAAGGGGAAAAGCTGCTCAGACGAGGAATGTCAGGGCTCCAGGGCCAGAGGGGAAAGATGTAGTCTTTTAATGAAGGCATTCACATGGGCTATGAACTGCCTGATGAAAGAGGGATCAGAGCCTTCAAACACAAGGACTGTGGTAGCAAAACTGTTTCTATTGATTTAATGTCATTTGACTCAGACAGTGGTTTTAAAATTAACACACACACACACACACACACACACACACACAAACAGATACACACTAAAATAATGTTATATTTTTAAAACAGGAAGAATGATATTTTGTAAGTCTGGAAAGACTGAGAATATTTAAACTATCAGTTTTGGTAGAAGGAAAAAAATATCCTATTAACCTGAACAGAAGACTGCCATAACTACTCTACTTTTGTAGATGGTAAAAGCTATACTATATGATATGAGGCAAGGGGATCTCTAAGGTGTATTGAAACAAAAATGGAGACAGAAAAGTAGGAAGTATAAAAGCTCAAAACTAATAAACTGACTTTACATGTCTATGGTAAAAGAAAGAAGCTTAACTAATAAAGACCCCCCCCCCGATCAAAGGAAATTCAGTAATAGAAATAATTAAACAGCAAATAATAAATAATAAACACTATCAGCAGTACTTAAACTATAGGTAAACTAGCAGATTTATATGTACTTGGTCAGATATAGTAGTAGAATTCAGATTATGAACTTGGGAGTTTGAAATAAGTATTAATATTTCCTTTTTATGACTTTAGAATAAGATACCAGTACAATGTCACTGCATTAGAAGAAATAAACTAGTGGTATCCAAAGTCGAGAGAATCTTTTTAAATGGAAAAAATGTTATAACTTCATGTACTTTTGCTCTCCAGACTCTACAGTTTAAACAACTACACTTTATCTACTTGCTAAAACAATATATCCTAAGCATCATTTCAAACATTGATAAACTTCTCCTATCTTTTTGTTTTTCATCTCTAACCCTCTTTTCAACAGTAATAAAATAATCCTAACCCATAGTAAAGTGGTTTGCCATGCAATCTATAAACAACTACACTGCCTTCAAAGGTGACAGGCAACCAGATAATGCCAAGATGTAGCCATGAGTTCAATAAACATCAAAGCATGTCTATCATGTCTGGCCATTGGGACAGTTGTCAGAATGATGATGAATGCAGTAGACATGAGAAATAAGACCAGCCGTTCATCCCAGTTCATGGCCTCCTGAACTAGATGCCTGCCGGTCCTGCTGTAGTGATCACAGTGAGCAGCACTGAGGAAAGTATATTTCTAGGTTTTAAATTACCTGATAGTTGCATTAATTGCAATTAACTACAGTTGCATTAGTTATTTTAAATTGCAGCATCCTTCAAGACCTTGGCTAGTGTGGATTTGTAATTTATTTTCTATTTATGACATTAAGATTGTTTTCATATATACTTACTAGTACCTTCTTCATTATCGTTGTTGTTTATTACCAATGCAACCATTAGAGCATGAAAGTTTACAAACTTGAATTCAAAGTCAAAGTCTTGTGCACTTAATTCATTTATTTATTTATTCTGGTCCAAATGTAACTGACATAATAACTCAGACACCAGAATTCTGACTTGGTCAGCTGCCTTGACCTCCACAATGCAGAATCATGAACAGGCCTGGAAATAGGAAGTCAAATGTTATCTGTGTGCTAGATTGTGAAGATTCAGGGCCAGGGAGAGGAGGGTCTCAGACCCAAGGGAGTTAGCAGTCTTGGGGCAGAAAAGTGTGCAAAGCAACTGCTTTGTCTGGCCTCAGTGGGAGAGGATGAACCTAATCTTGATGACTAGAGACTTGATGCCTCAAGGAAGGGGGATGGTGGTGAGGTGTGAGTGGGTCGGTGAGGGGGTAAATAGGTGAGAGATGGGAGTGGGTGGGTGGGTGGGTGGGTGGAGGAGCACCCTCTCATAGGCAAAAGGGAGAAGGAATGAGGTGAAAAACTCTTGGAGGAGGAACTGGGAAGTGGGCAACAGTTGGAATGTAAATAAATAAAACAATTTAAAAAGGAAGAAAGGCAATTCTGAATTAACATATACTACATCAGTTGAAGACAATGATAGCAAATGATAATAGTAGTTGCCATTTATTGAATTCCTACTACTATAAAAAAAACTTTGAGCCGGGTGGTGGTGGCACACGCCTTTAATCCCAGCACTTGGGAGGCAGAGGCAGGCGGATTTCTGAGTTCGAGGCCAGCCTGGTCTACAAAGTGAGTTCCAGCACAGCCAGGGCTACACAGAGAAACCCTGACTTGAAAAACTGAAAAAAACAAACAAACAAACAAAAGAACTTTGTACATACATGATTTCAAATGCTCACAGTCTACAAGTAATACATTATCTCAATTTCATAACAAAGAATGAAAAACAATCTGTGATTTATGTTAATTTTTATTTATTTATTTTTGTGTGTATGGGCACATGATATGTATGTGTGAGTGTGTGTGCAGGTGTGTATTGTGATGTGACTGTGAGTGCATGTGTGTGGAGACCAGAAGGACAACTTTGAGGAGTCAGTTCTTTTCTTCCACCAAGCTCAAATAATTAGGTGCCAAGTGCTTTTACCCATTGTGGCATTTTATCAATCCTGTGGTTCATTTAAAGGCTTATTTAACAGCTATATGGGTTTGAAGGCAAAATTCAAGGCCACAGTTTCACAGAGCAACTCTGTACTTCAACAGTGTATGTTGCCTTCATCCCTGAAATGCAGAAGATGCAACTAATTTTTTTTAAATCTCAAGCTTACTCACAATTAGAATTTTTTAAGCCACATACAGTCTGAATACATGTGTGTTAATATACACACTCTCTCTCTCTCTCGGAGTCATCATGAGTCAGAGTAGCACAAATAGTCAGCATGAATCCCTCAGACCTGCAGCACTGATCGGGTGTTTCATATTTGACCTTCCACGTGTAAATAAAGCCTTCTAGATTGCAAGCTTCCTATAACAGGGAGTCAATAAACTTGTTGAATAATTGAATATATGAAAAAAGTTTTAAAACTAACAATGTGTCATAAAAGAGATTGTATAAACAACTTGTCGATTAAGGTCAAGCAGATATAACCATGTATGTAAGTGTGACTGGCACAATCTAAAATTTGGGGAAGATCAAAATATTTTATCACAAGTGATACATGAAAAATACTCATTCTTTTCACCTAGTCACAAGCACTTTGTAAACTTAGCTGTTTCTGCCTGGATTACTGGCTCTCCATAAAGAGCTTGTGCTGGCTCCAGCCGTTGTTTTGTTGGATATCTTTCTTCCTTCCTGGGATAAGATTGTTTCTTAGTCAACTTTGAGGTATATTGTTAGTGAGTGAAACTGCCTACTCTCTGAGGCAAAACTAATCTCTCTGTCCACTGAATTCCATTCTTGGCCACTTATCCCATTGTAGCCTTTATCCCTGTAATCATTAGTATCTCTGCCAATGGCTTAAACACTAAGATTTGAAGATATCCTCGGGAATTTATCAATGTTTGTGTCCTATGGATTTGAAAACCAGTAAAACATAAACATGAATCCAGTAGGTTTTTTTGTTTTGTTTTAGTGAACACCTGACATTGTGAATTTACATGTTACCAATAAAACTCTTGTGCAAAGCCAAAGTTGAATGTTTAAGTATTTTATAGGACTGACACGAGGTCAGCAAGTTTAGAAAGGAAGCTGCTGCTGACACAGATCTCAGGATTTTATTCTGTCTACTGGTGTGCTCCTAGGTTCTTTGGGAGCAAATAAAACAATCTTTTCCCCTTAAGCTTTCTTTTGGTCTAACAAAGCACCTGTTATCATCTTAGTGATGATTTAGTGTCTTTCAGAAACGAGGAAAGATAGCGCACGAGCACAGCCGTCTTCCTAGAGTTAAACATAAACCCCGTAAACCTGGGAGGAGTGAGTTCACGCAGGGTATGTGCAGATTCTTCATCTCTGCTGTAGTATTTTACAACATCGTTTGACATTAGTAGATTTGGCTAAAACAAACCTCACTAGAAAATGTTTCCAGGAACATCGCTACAAAGTAACATATGCTAATACATGGTAAATAAGAGTAAAATTTGTTTCACTGCTTTGACATATGTATCTCTGCCAGCTTCTTGTTTTGAGGGCTATTCTACTAGATCACGATTCTTTAACACTATGATTACACACAGTTTACTAAGGGAAACATCTTATAACACCATTACAATTTCTGAGTGATTAGTTATGTTGTCTAGAAACAAAAAGTTTGTCACACAACTAATCTTTCTGATTTTCTAACAATATTGTGTCTATTCATTAGCACCACTGTCCTCTGCCTTATGCTTTATGTCAAGTGACTGATCTCATTTACAAGTTATGAACACAAAGGAATGATTAACTAATTCACAGGCTCAAAATATAATTATAACATTCTTAGTAGATTAAGTGAAACTATTACATTTCTCCTTCATGGTCAACATGTTGACATTCTGTCCAGCACTTTTCTTCATCAGCTGATCTGGATACACCTATGCTTACACTTCTTCTTTTCCTCATCACTTCTCATATAGAATTCCTGAAACATATGTTCCCACTGAGCTAGTGGCCCTGATGTTAGTTGTTTACACTACACAAATGAAAACCGATAAGGAAATGATGGGGTTAAGCTGCTCAGGGACTTGCAATAACCTGCTGTGATAAGAGCAGCTGTCATATCAGTTTTTATTAACCCACTAAATCACCACTAATAAATAAGATAATAGCTTTTGCCCATCATGTCTGAAAACCAAGATTTGGTTGATCAAAGTCTGCCAGAAATTAAAATGTAACTTTGATTCAACCAGTCTATGTTGTACATAGTATCTATTAAAGAAATGACTTACAACATCCCTTACTTTATTCACCTATTTCGAGCAAAGACACATACAGGCTTTTTTGTTTCATTTGTATCCCCAAAGGCTAGCCACTATTGAGACTGTTAATATAATGCTTATTAATATTAATAGTGAAAATTCTTTGATAGCAGATAACCTATCTTATCATTCTTTATACTTCGAAAACTTTTTAGAACCATGCTTTGTACCTCAATTCCAATTGAATGTATCAATTATTCCTGAAATATTCATAATCAGAAAATATGCGTGATTTATTCTGTAGTGACTAAAATTTTATTTTTTGAAGACTTAAATTTAAAAATGTAAAAGAAACCCTTTCTTTTAGCATCAAAGAAAGAAGAAGAAACATGAAGATAAAGCCATTTTCTGTCTTGATATCTACTTATATACAGAATATGCTACTGAGGCTGGAAAAATAAGGTTTAAGGAACAGAAATGGGGTTCACTTGATTTGTAGAGTTTGGGATTGATCACTTTGCTACGCCTTGTCACATAGATCATAGCTTCCCAACTTTTAGAGTCCATATATTGCTATGAAATGGAAAGAGACTTTACTCCATGAATCCCAAGTATATCTGAGGTCAGTTTCAGAAACTGTGATCCCCTACTTGCTGTCCGGAAGACAAAAGAGCCATCATCACCTAGCAGCAATTCCATCTGACATCCCAAACAAAAATATTTAAAAATCAATTATTCTATGAAAATATAGCAAAATTGAAAACTTACTCAACACTTCAAGAAAATGAGTTAAAATTCTGGAAGAAAGTATGATTTCCTGATTTTTCTAAATAAGATTCCTTCATTTGTACTTATGTCTCAGTTGCTCGTGTTTGCAATAGTCATAAAATATTTTTTATAAAATTTAAACCAACAAAATGCTAAACACCTAGCAGAAAGAATAATTGGAAGATAATATATTTACCTCGAGGATGCTTAGGGTTAAAATTAGGAGCCTGGGAGTTCATTGGTTGTGCAAATTTGCTCTCATACAAAATATATATCACTAAAATTAGTGACTAAAGGTTAATAAAATATTATTTTCTTTAAGGAAGAATGTAATAGTAATTACTCTTAAAAACTGCTTTAGCAGAACAAAATTAATAAAAATCTCAATTAAAAAGATGAAGATAATGTAAAGTTTAATAAATTAATTGTTTTTGTAATATGACTGATATTAGAAACAAGTGTTTTTTTTACTTTTACTACTTGACAAACATATACCTTAGACTCAGTTGAACCTTGGTATAATTGCCAGCATTGTTAGTGGGTTGTATTCTTGTGAACGTAAGCAAGTCAATAACATTCTAACTACAGTTTCCTTATATATAAAAAAGCAATTCCTGTCTTATATCATTACTGAAAGGATTAAACCTAAGGAATATATATATATATATATATATATATATATATATATATATATATATAATAATATAAACATTAAATTAAATGCATTGATGATTATTGATGCTTTCAGTCACAATTTTCTCTTATAAAAGAGTATCATTATAAGGTTGAAAATATACTTGATCTTCCACTAATATTGTTTAAATGTTATTTAATTCTCAAAATAATGATATAAGGTATCACAATCCACTTTATTGATAAAGCCTGAGTGATCTGGCTGTTCTCACACAGTTACATATGGAAGCCTAGAATTCAGCCTGATTTGTTCAACTTTAACTCATGTTCCAACCATTAGGCATGGTGTCTTTGATGTACTGTCTTCCAAAATAAAATCTGAAGATGCTTTTTAGAAGCAAAACCAGAAATGCTACCTAGATAAGAACAATCATATCAGAACATTACCATATCTAGGATGATCCTTGCAATATCTTTTGACATACTTTGTTTGCACAGTGGACATTATTTCTACTTATAATATAAAAATGCCCAAAAGGGTGATAGCCATGTCATAAAAAGCAAATAGTATATCAATAAGGCAGAAAAAATTTAAATCATTTGGCCTTGATCATGTCAATGACTCTTAATTATCAAATAAGTTGCCAGAAGCCACCAAATGTTGCTATATCAACGTAAGAACTGGAGTGTGGCTGTGTCACAATGGGCACAGTTAATGATTCATCTCTAATCCTAAAGGCTCCTTCTGGGACTAATTGACTTTCTCTACAGCCTGCCCACCCACCCTCCTCTAGATCTTGTCAAGAGGATTGCTTGTGTTGCTTTGCCTCTTTGTCCCCTATCTTCATACTTCAAACACTGTCTTATTTTGCCTCTACTTATACAATATAGTACTTTAGAAATCATCAAACCGGACTGAGCCAAGCTTGACATAAAGCTGACTTGGTTAGAATGGAAAGGCTTTTGTCCCCTAGTGTGGTAGTTTATTCTTCTTTCACAGGCCATAGTATTTTCAAAAGTACTTAAAAATCAGCAAAGTAAGTATTGCCTGATAATAAATTATGTGTTAGACAACAGAAAGAAGTAAAAATGAATGAAACAAAGTATCTGTCCTCAAAATAGTATCTGCTTAGAAAGGAGCTAAACTAATATCATATTTAGATAGATATTAATAAACAACCATGAGAGTGCAAAGAATCTACCCAAAGTAACTGACTAAGAGAACATTCAAGCTTCATAAGGCATACCTTTAAGTGGCTAAGATTTCAAAATACATACAAAGGCAAGAGTGTCCTCAGCTGGGGAAGCTAACATGGAAGAGAGATATGTGAGTGATTCTAAAGGTACTGGGATGATAATTAAGGGACAAACATAGCAATATACTGATAACTTAGAAGTAAACTATATGGGAGGAAAACCAAGTCATAAGACACTTTGCATATCAAGGTAAGAAGCTATCTTTAAGAGTAGAAATCATGAAGTAGTGAGAAGATGGAAATGCTGAAGGTGCTTGCTTCCAAGTCAAACTGAATTCAATCCCCAGAACTTAATAGAGATGATTGACTCCCAAAGATATCCTCTGACCTTCCCATGTGTGCCATGCACAGTACACAGACACGTACACACACACACATGAGAGAGAGAGAGAGAGAGAGAGAGAGACAGAGACAGAGACAGAGACAGAGAGAGACACAGAGAGACACAGAGAGACACAGAGAGACAGAGACAGGGAGACAGAGAGACAGAGACAGAGAGACAGAAAGAGAATGGAGGGGAAGGGAGAGGGAGGGGCAGGGGAGGAAAAGGAAGAGGGTGAGGGAGGGGCAGGGGAAAGAAGAAGGAGAGGGAGCAAGAAAATAAATACGTAGATACATTTTAAAGAGTTTAAAGAACTGAAGTTGTAAGCCTGTGTAAGTCCCTGAGCATTGGAGAGAAAAGATGGAGTCAGAACTTCAGAAAGTCAATGTGGAAACACTGTACTGAATGACTAGAGCGTCAATATGACACTACAAAACTGAAAATGAAGAAAGACAACTTCAGGAGAATTCAAAAATTAAGACTTAATTTTTTTGCAAGAGACTAGAGCTGACTAGTGTAAGGCAGCTGCTAGTACTAGTAGGGAACACTTGAACTGTGGCTAGTTTTGAACAGAAATGTGCAAAATATTTATGGAATTTTAAAAACAGTATGAACAAAACAAAATATCTTCTCAAATTTTTATATGGATTATATACTGAAATATTTTTTGTATACCGGGTTAAATAAAAATTTATTGAAATTAGTTCCACTTGTTGCTTTTTACTCTTTTGCCATAGTTACCAGAAAATTTTGGACTAATATGAGGCTGCACTATGGGTCAATGGTGTACTGGAATTCATGAGACCACCTGCAAGCTAGAAGGATGGGAGGAAGCTGGAAAGTGACTCAGAAGTTATAAGTCAAGGTTCTGTGTTGAAGAGGGAGGTTGTTGGAAAGAACAAGTGCTAGACAGTAGGCAAAAAAATGAGTAATTGTAGAAACAGGCTATTTGGGTTTTACCCAGATACAGAAGTATTCTGGCAGAGTAATGTACCTAGTGCTGGGAATAGTGACTGGTAACTAGTCTTTCGAGAACAGTAAAGAGAAGATAAACAAAAAGTAGTGGAGGGAACAACAGGTCTGACCTGATGCTTTTTTCAATATGAAAGATTTGATTCTGTTCCAAAATGAAAACGTGGACAGAGGAAACACTGGTGAACATGGGTTAAGGAGGATCTACAGAGAGTTAGAAAAGAATATCCAAGAGTGTCAAGGGGCAGGATGAATACAGCTTACTGTATGTTTATATTTGTAGTGAGAAATGATCAAGCAGGTTATTGTGCATGTCATTTGGCTTGATGGGGGAAGATGGGATGTCACATGACTGAAATGACCATCTGGATGAGAACAGTTGAAGAGGAATTTGAAGCATGCCAGGGCTCGCCTTGTGTTATTGACCTTATCATTTAGGGGATGTTATCAGGCTCCTTGGTCATTAAATTTTGTCTTGTACATATTTTGTTCAAGACATTGGTGACTTTATCAAGATTGTTCACTTCATATATTTCAGGAGGAAGCAAGATAAATATTATGAATAGTCTTTGTAAATTTTTCTATATATATATATATATATATATATATATATATGCACACATACACACATGTTAGTTCTTATAGTTTGTCTGCTTCTACCTCATTAAGAAGAAAATACATGGTTCCATTCACTGAGAAGACAATGTTACCTTATATTTATAAGACCTATTATTCTGTTCTTACTTTGAATGCCCTCTTGTTCCAAGTCTTCGTGTTGTTAGGAGGGGAAATTTTTGGCGAATTGTCTAAAAAGAAAGACAAGATTTAGAATACATGTTGTTCTAATGCAAAGTACTAATTTCTTAACTCAAGAAAGTAAGTGGTAAACTAAAAGGAGCACTTAAAGTAATATGCATGTGTTGATAAGAAATACATAAATTATCACGGTTACTTTATTTATGCCAAAGGAGGGTTGTTTAGATTTCTTTAAAATAATTCCATCCAGAGATTTATCCATATCAAATATCCATCACCATTCTGAAAGGATTCTTGAATCTTAAGAGAGCTCCATGAAAAATTTGATAGGTTAATTACTTCTAGTTTAACTGGACATTAAATGTGCTCTGTGATTCCCACTTAGGCATTATCATCATTGGGTAGGCTCAGAAAAATGGTACTGCTAGTATAGACATCAGAAGCTGTTTCATCCAGCTTTAGAGGGTATACTAAGCCTTGAGGAGATCGTTTATCAGCAATTATCACAATAAGCCAATCACAGACATGGCTAGATCCTAGGGCCCTGCTCTACATGTAGCATACCATACTCTACATCACACTGCCTCTGTAAGAAAACATGTTTTCAAAATAACTAACTACTTTTTAGTATTATTGTATATGTATAGGTTTTTTTACCAGCATATATGTCTGTGTACTACATGCATGCAGTGTCCATGGAGGCCACAAGAGGCAGGAGATGCCCTGGAACTTGCTATATGTGTGTATAGCTATACGTGTATATAGTTACAGCAGTTCATTTAGAAGAGCTGTCAATTCTCTTAACCACGGAGGGATCTCTCCTGCCCCGCAAATAAACTGCTTCTTTAAAGTATGGCTTTGGTCTACTTTTAAAGTGGTGAGCTGGGTATAATGACACATGTCTTTAAATCCAGCACTCAACAAGATGAGTAGAGGATCACAAGTTCAAGGCCAACTTGAGCCAGATAATGAGTTCAAGATAAACTTGAGGTATGTAAAGAAGTCCTGCTATATACCTATATATAAATCACTTGCCTCCATCCCCTCCTGGAAAACCTGAGGAGATAGACCATAACATTCATTACTTTGGACTTTGGAAATCTAGTACTTGAGACCCAAACTCCCTACAGTTCTACTAAGATATCCTAGATTCCCAGACAATAGATGACTGGAAGAGGTTTAAAGCTGAAAGCTTTACCAAGCAATTAATATTGTTCTCTAATTCTCAAAATGATATCAACATATATAAGCCATCCAATGTTAGATTCATAGATTTCTATTCTAATGATAGAAATGTTAAATGATAGAAATGTAACCAATCCTATTATAAAATATGTTAATTCTGTGCCATAAGCATAATCAAACTAAGTCAAAGATTAAGGACAACTACTTAAGTAATAGAATAACTATTGTTGTTAAGTAATAGAATAACTCTGTCAAAAACCCAAATATTTGGACTATGTGAATAATAAGGAAAGCCTGCATTTATGGGTTCACCTTCAATTGCTTTTATGTTTCATTATAGTTTGTACCAATCTCTTTAATTCATCCTCTTTGAAGAAACATGACACTTTTTTATGGAGCTTGCTTTGAGCTCACATTAGATCTGATAGCCAATAATCTGTGACTCAAAAAGAAAAATCAAGATATATACGTATAGCAGTTCCAAGGATAAATTTCACTTATGCCTGTAAAGCAAATGTTTTAAGATTGTCTAAGAGAACTCATTTAGGTAAATTTAGTTACACATTGTCTATACAATATGTTAGTTATAAGGCAGTATAGCCAATATGTGTCATATACCTTTCCAAAGGTGGCTGCACAAGCTGGCTCCAGTTTCTCTTTCCTGCAGAAATCTAAATAGTGAGCATAAAGAATGCACCGTGGGAGGCAAACTCCTTCACACACTATGTAATTGTCTTCAAGCCTGAGAGAAAAGGCCAAGAATTAGGTCAAACTTTTCCACTACTACCTCCCAATTCCCTCAATGACCTTATGCTAGTTTTGAAAACAGACTACATAAAAGTGAGTTAATGAGTAGATATATATACATGGATTTTCTTTCTTCTAGTTGCTATTTAAAATAATTCCAAGATGAAATAAGCAAAAAGCTATGTGCTATATATCTCAAAATTGCTAAGAGAGAAATTTGCATGTAATTCTCATTAAAAACACCATAAATTGTTTATGTGAAAGAGTATATAGATAAACTCCTTACACTCTTGTCACTACCCAATGTTTACATACATAATCAAAACATACCAGTGGACTTTAAAAATGTGTACAAAGATTATGATAAGTGTTCATTAATTTCCTAGGTAAGGAAATTCTCTTGATGATACCATTTCACTTAGCAAGCCCTAGAAACAATGTCTGGGAATCAGAAGCAGAAGGATGATCTGAAGTAGGAGCAGAAACCCTCCACAGATCTGGAGAAGCAAGTGACAATTTCTTGAAGAGGGCCATCTCTAAGAGAATGGTAGGTTATCCATAAGTGCTAAGGGCCTCAGTTCTACAATTCAGGGAATAAATTCTGTCAATAACCAATAAGATTAAAGAAACAAGAGTAAAAATATCTGATGTGAACTGTCAGCATCAACTAATTTCTTCATTTCTATCTGGTATGACTATGAACTTACAGTCAAGGTGACCTGTTTAGACTCCTGACCCACAGACACACAGAGACAATATATTATGTTGTAAGCAAGTGCATACGTGTAACCACATGAACACAAAGAAATCACAAGGATTAATTTTAGAACAGTAAAATCAAGAGCAAACACCTGTTAGTACAATTACAATGGGATGTTAATGTAGAAACCACTCCTTCCAGGCCATCATTTCAGATACCAGGTCTTCTGTATGAATCTTCACTGTTCAGTAGTTACTCTTTGATCTAGGACTATGAATGGTAAAATTAAAGATGCTGTGTTTTTAGAAGAACATCTTCAATTTGAAAGGACTGCCAGGCTTCAGCCTGTCAAAGCTTACATGCCCTTACTTTTATCCACAAACTACTGAACAACCAAAGATACTGGATTTGTTTGGAAAAGATACCAGAGTAAACTCATTTCAGTGAAGCTGAAATGGTAATGATCTATTTCTACTCTTACACCTTTTTACTGTGATTATACTTATATTCAACTAAATTATCAGATATAACTAAGACAGTATCTATAAAAGCCTCCATACATAACATATACAATCCTAACTCTGTAATACTGATATAACTATATAAGCTTTGAAAATCTGGGTAGATTTCCAGTTAATTTCAACTACATGGAATGTAATAAATAATCTGTGTTGCAATCATCTGAATGACAATCAAGGAACCAAAGCTTCTAGATTCTATTCCCCTTTTTCCCAAACATTTCAGTAAATTATTTTTACTAAAATGCACTTTATATTAATTCCATGTTTAATAAAACATAATCATTTACAGCATAAGATCAATATAATATACGGTATTATTCAGAATAAAATTGAGTCAAATCCTTTAAGACTTTAGATTTAACATACTCTCAATGCACACAAAATAAAAGTTAGGGGTTCCATGAGGTTCAGACACTAAATTATTAAATTTTTAAATTTTTAAATTTTTTAATTAAAAAGATCCAAATCAACTAGGATATAGTATTTAAAAAACAAATAAATTTACCTACCTAGAATCAAATAGCTAACTGACAACGCTGGAGTTAATAAGTCATATTTTTACTTTGATTTTCAGTTCTAATTTGTAACACTCCAACCACAATTCTATAGCCTCACAGATTTCTCACAATCCAAAGATCTTCGTTTTTTTAAAAAAAAAAATGTATAACATTCATTTGCTTCAGAAAATTTGCAAAATGTAATATAATCTATAATCTTCAAAAATGAACTCTCTTATGAGAAAGAAACAGCTGTTTAAAAAATTTCAGTTTAAAGGTAGGAATATACTACCTACTGTTCATTTATTTGGATAGTTGTTTTTATGTTTATTGTTTTCTTTTCAAAACACCAAGTTAAGCTAGACATATGTACAGTATGAATTTTGACAAACTCAAGATTGTTTCCAATTACTCAATTTGAACTGAAAACCTAAGAGTGATCATTCAAAATTCTCTAAAATAAATTCAAAATTAAACATTTTTTCCAATTTCCTGATGACAGAAGTTGTTTCCTAAATATTTCAGATAATTTCTCAATTATTTAGAGTTTTGGGGTATTTTCAACTAGTAATCATGACGTCAAACTTTATCATCTAAAATGTAACTTTACGGGCATATTTATTTTCTTTTTCAGGTGTTGAAAGGATTTAAACATATACTTTCAGAACTTCTGGCTATAAAATTAGAACTTAATGTTTAAATAAACAAAAATAAAATTTGTAAGCATTTATAGATTCTATTTTTCTAATCCTAGGATAATAATAAATGATAGATTGGTAGGTAGATAGGATAACTAACCAGTAAATAAGTAGTCTTTATTTATTACTTGAAATTGGGGAGAAATTTGTGCCCCTAATGCTTCACATTATGCAAGGGTTCTTAATGACATGTTCTTATTTAGATATCTCTTCCTTTTGTAGCAAGCATTACAAGACACACTTCATATGTAGACCTACTGATAATTTCTCAGTTTTGAAAGATTTGGGCAAAAAAGTTAATTTGTGATATTTTACTATAGTAAGTCATGTATGTGATATGCTGCAAAACTGAAAATTATTTAATCATGACAGTTTGAGTGATTTTTTTCCGTTTTGTAACTCTAACTCAATCCATCTGTTTTCTAACTAAAAAGTATCTGCCAGCCCTTCTACAGATTAGAGCAGAGTTAAGAGCCTTCCATTTTTTGTTGTTCTGAAGGATCATATCTTGAAAGCATAAAAATATCAAAGAAATACATTTTATATTAAGCAAACAATCACAGAAAAATTCATCACTGCTTACATGTGAAGAACCTGTGGTTTTAGTCAAGAACGTATCCGGTTTTTCAACAGGGTCAGAATAGTTCTCTGTGAGCATAGACAGTGCGAGGAAATAAATGCATTTGTCGTGGGTCTTTTAAACTTGTGGAAGTTTTAAGGAGAAGCAAGTTGGGGAAAATCAGGGTCCTAGGGATATGGGCTGGTGAACATCATTAGCCTGTGCGGGCACCAGGACCAGCTTACCACTGCAGGGTGAGCTGAGTCTGCTTCTTCTTGTCCTTCATGATCTGAGTGATGCTCTTCTTTTGAGAGAGCTGTGGGTCAGCTGCTTTGGTCTTGCTCTCCTGAGTATCCGCATCCTCTTCTTCCGAGGAAAAGTTGCCATTGTTTAAATGCATTTCTAAGGGCGAGTTTAAGGAGTGACAAAGAACAAGGGAACACGCGATCAGTCCAGTAACCTCCACACCTTCCTGCTTTGCACCCAAGGAGGAGCAAGGCAGGAGTTGAGCAAAGCCCTCAGAGTTAACAGTGTTTCCATTAGCATTTTTCCCGGTTAAGTAAAATGGTTCCGACAGAGCACCCTACTTTATGTGTATTCAAAGTGTGTTTCTTCTTTATTATTGGACACTCTTAGGACTCAGCACCGCAGCCGGGCGAGTGGAGCACTCACCTGATTTAACTCCCACCTGCAGCCCAGGATCTCCGCCTTTCTCTTCGCAGCTCCCGGCGCCCGCGGCTGCTCCAGCCACCAGGTAAGCACTATCCTCAGGGTAGACCAGCAAGCCCTTGCCAAGCAGCTGCGCGCAGCACTCCTCCGCGATCTCAGAGGGAAGCTGAGGCGAAGACTGCTCCTGTACGAAGGCTTCCTCCAGTTCCCGGACCTTAGCCATCCTTCTCACCGCCGGACCTCAGCACCCCGGACTTGGCGAAGCTCTGTGTAGAGTCCAGAGCCCTGGGGCGGGGCGGGGCGGGGCGGGGCGGGGCTGGAGAACCTGTGGCCACTGGGCAGACTCTGGAGCCCCCGATGGCAGAGACAGGACAGGGTGAACAGGTATCGCACAGGTGGCGGGGTGGAGGAGGGCGGAGGCTATCCTGCCTTTTTCCAGTGTCTCGGTCTGGATAGAAGCTTGCCCCCAGTTCACTTACACATTGGCTGTCAGTCACACGGAGCCCTTTCTTCTTGTTCTAGACTCAGTACCACTTCTCTACTGAAAACTTCCTGAGGGATCCTATAAAGCTTACCTCTCCTCTCTAGTGGAGCAAGCAACTTCAACTGTCCCAATCGAGATTCTTAACCGAGGCACCTGCCAGGGCCTTGATTTGAGTATAGGATGGAAGGAAACAAAACTTTGCCAGTCTTTGCACAGATGCATTCCCAAAATAATGTAAGGATTGAGGAGCACGTCTTTATTGGCCGGAAGACAGAGACACTGCTCTGTACTTTAGATACTTGGGCTTCACACCCCTCTAAACTATAGAAATTGAAGGAAAAGATGGATCCCCATTCATACTCGCATGTGCATCGCTTACAATTCTTCATTTCATGCCCAGCATTGAAACAGGAATTTAATAATTTTATTATTTTTTAATTATTAAATTATTGAAATTATTTGATAATTATTAATAATTTAATAGTATTTCAGTCCCAAATGACAAAATATGTGTTTGTTTCAAAGTAAGTTGGGGTTTCTATAAAGAAGGGTGCTGAGTGGAGGTTTGGGATCCTCCTGCCTGGCTGACTCGCAGTTTTCCTCATTCTATTCTCTGTCCTTTTGACAAATAGGCCCTCCAGAAAAAGAAGGGATCCTGCCGTGGTTTCCATTGCTTCATTGCAGCCAATCCTGTATCTTCTTTGGGGGAATTAGCAAGGGATATCACCTTTGAATTTAGTATGAAATAACATTAAACTAAGGTCACACCAAGAAAGCAAAATGAAACCAAGAGTAACAGATGATTAAAGGAAGGACAGCAGGAGTCATCCAACAGAGAGAGCAGCGTTTGCCACAGCAGCTCAAACTGCTTATGTGTCTACTTCCGTTTTCAGCAACCCTTGCTGGAAAGGGCATCACTTCTCTCGAAGCGCAAAGCTCGTCTCACATGCTTTCTCTGGTTGCTGGACATTGGCTGTAGCCACACACTTTCCCACACACCCAGTGTTCCCTACCTTCTCTCCCTAGTCCTCTGAAAGTCTATCAGCCTGCTTCGTGTGTAGAGGTTTTCACTTTAGTGCTCGATTTTACAATATACTACCTTTACAGAGACACCCTCAGGGGTATTCTGTAATGGAAGTCCTCTTGGTGTTCACAGCAAGGCTCTAGCCACTCATGTCACACAACCATGAGAAAAATGTTCAGAAAAAGGCCAGAATTTCTTCTTTAATTTTAAAATACAGCCTACTCGATATCAAAGAGCTGTGTTTGTGTATGTGAGTCATATAGACACTAAGTGAATAGTTGGCAATTTTCCAATTGAACCGATCAATGAAAATGAAAACTAATATCTTGTAAGGCCCTAAACAAATTTTTGGCTATATTTTTTTAAATAAATTGCCTTTCTTATAAAATATCATTGAGGTTCTTTGTGCTTCTCTTCAGAATTAGGAACCATAAATAGGCATGTAACAGTAAATGTATTAAATCAGTGTCCAATAATTCTCCAACATTAAAAATCCCAAGACAAGGTTGGCTTTTTTTTTTCCAGTTTTTTCAAGACAGGGTTTCTCTGTATAGCCCTGGCTGTCCTGGAACTCACTCTGTAGACCAGGCTGGCCTCGAACTCAGAAATCCGCCTGCCTCTGCCTCCCAAGTGCTGGGATTAAAGGCGTGTGCCACCAGCGCCCGGCTAAACTAAACTTTAAAAGTGGCTGAAAATACTTAATATTAGATTCTTCAAGTAAAAAGATGCCCTCTGCCCGTCTGCCCCTCTGCCCCTCACCACCTGAGGCAGTCAGGAAAGTTGACCCCAGGAGCATAAGAGAGGGTGAGTTGGCCCTGTCCCTTGCAGGCAGGCTGCTGCACACAGGGAGAGTGGCCCCTGCATCTATCTGGGCAGCACAGAAGAGCTAGCCATAGTGGAAGAGGTGCAGGTGAGCTGGTCCCCAAGGATGAGAGTACAGGAGAGATGGCCCCAGCACTTGCTAGTAGTCTGGCTTGAGATGGCATGGGTATGAAAATGATACATCACACTACCACCACTACCACCACCACCACCACCACCACCACCACCACCACCACCACCACCAC